CCCCTTCCCCTCACCCCGCGCTTGCCCCGCCCCCTCTCCTGCAGGTCGCTTTGCTCTCCTTGGCTGAGTGGGGAAGGCCTTGGAGACACACTGCAAAGCTTCTCTCTCTCTGACCAGAGCAGTGAGGACTCTTGGCTCCGAGCTGGCCTGTGTAGCAAGCAGTGTGGCTAGCCAGCCTGTGCCTCACGCCTCTTTATTTCTTTTCTTTACTTTTGTTACCATGAAGCTTCTCTTTGTTATTTGTATTGTGCGTGGCTCAGGGGAATGGCTAAGAGGGCTCGGTATGCTGGGGTCCCTCGATGACTTGATGACAGGTCCCTGATGTACGTGTGAGTCAAGGCCTCACCTGTGTGAGCCCAGAGGCTTTTCATCTAAAGCTGGTTCTGAGTTACTTGTTCCGCCATCTGCCCGGCTCTTTATCCGTCTGTCTGTCCACTCAGTCAACCATCCAGCATCCATCCATCCGTCCGCCCACCCGCCCCTCCAACTGTGCACCCGTCCATTGTCTGCTCAGCTCTTCATCTGTCTATCCACCCATGTGTCCAGCACCTCTGCCCATCGGCTCCCCACCCACTCCACCATCCCTCCGTCCATCCGTTGTCTATCTTTCCTGCTCCGTTTATCCACCCACCCAGCCATCTCTCCACTGCCCACCCACCCCATGGTATCCATCCACCAGTCAAGGTCGTGGACACTGTGGACGCCATGGCAGTTAACCAGGTGGGGAGGCTGCAGAGTCAGAGACCACATCAGGTCACATCCTGTGTGTCCTGTGCTGGGGCTTCTTAGTTCGAGATCGAGGCTAATCTTCAAACCTTTTCCCGTGATCCTGGCTCGCGTGCCCGGGTGCGTGTCGACAGTCCTGCTTGAGCTGCCCGCCTTCCCCTCCTTGCCCGCCTTCCCCTTCCCTGCTCCACAGCGCAGCCGGAGAGAGGCGGCGCCGTGCCACAGACTGGCAGAGTTTGAGGACACCAGTCTGTGGCTCTAAACTTGCCCAACAGCACCAGGCCCGTGGGAGAGAGAAAGCAACCGAGGGCTGTAGTTGGAAAGCCCTCCTTAGAGGCCTCTGCTGGGGAAGGGTCAAAGGAGGCCGAGTCCTTGACGGAGCAGAGAACCAGAGAACGTGAAGGCTGAACGGCCTTGGGGGTCTTGCGAGTGTCGGGACCAACGCCCCTGAGCTATGCCAGGAGCCTGCTGCTTCCCGGCCACCTCTCGGCTCCTGCTCTGTGGCTGTGTGGCTTCCACTCGTACACCGCTGTGCCTTCTCTGTCCCTGTCTGTGTCCCTCTCAAGCTCAATCTCCCGGAGGAGGAACTTAGGTCGCGAATGCTAGATGCCTAGCAGGGGCCCAACTCTGCTGCCAGGCCAACTGCAGGCATCGGGCCAACCCACAGGGTCAGGCACGACCCTGGTCAGTGGGATACGGAGAGCGTGGAGCCCCGCAGGAGGCTGGGCTCTGGCAGCCCCTCATAGGGCCTTTCCGCTAGCGAGAGCTGTGCAGGGCGTTACCGCCATGTCGAGATTCCAGCCTCTTTGACTGTGCCTTTGACAAGGGTCTTGTCCAAGGGTGTGAGATGGCACTTCTTTGACTCTGAGGGTGGCTGGGTGACACTGTGGTTGTGACAGTGATGTGCCAGGCATAACTCTGCTCAGGGCAATGCAGGTGGAGTGAGGGGTAGGGTGGTGCGAGGTGTCGAGCTGTTTGTCAGAGACTGGTGACTGTCGCGCTGGGTGTCTCGTTGTGGAGCAGTGGCAAGGCCTGTGCGGGCAGCTGTGGGTTATGTGGGTGGCATGAGAATGTTCCCGGGACACCGGGGCTGGTGGACAGGGGGGCTGTTGGGAGCGACCCTCCCTGGGGACAGAGCGCCGGCGCCCACACTGCCTGGCTTTGTACCCCAGCTGCCAAGAGCCCCGAGGAAGTGTGTGGGCCCACGCAGTTCCGATGCGTCTCCACCAACACGTGCATCCCGGCCAGCTTCCACTGTGACGAGGAGAGCGACTGTCCCGACCGCAGCGACGAGTTTGGCTGCAGTGAGCAGGGAGCAGAGGGCAGGATGTGGGCCCTGGCCCTGGGCTGGGTTCCGGGAGCTTCTCTCCACAGCCTTGGCGGCTGCGCTTCTCCCCACTGGCTCCTCTGAGCACCCCCCACTGCTCCTCCATGCCCCAGACCCCTCACTCCTGCCCTGGTCTCCCCAGTGGCCCCCCAGGTGGTGACGCCTCCCCAGGAGTCGATCCAAGCATCCCGGGGCCAGACAGTGACCCTCACCTGCGTGGCCATCGGCGTCCCCACCCCCATCATCAACTGGAGGCTCAACTGGGGCCACATCCCCTCCCATCCAAGGTGCGCCTCCGGCCCAGGTGCTGGGTGGGAACGCGGGGGAGGCTGGTCCCGTGGCTCAGGCCAGACCTCACCACTATCTTGGGGCCCACCAGGGTGACAATGACCAGTGAGGGTGGCCGTGGCACACTGACCATCCGCGATGTGAAGGAGTCGGACCAGGGTGCCTACACCTGCGAGGCCATGAACGCCCGGGGCATGGTGTTCGGCATTCCCGACGGTGTCCTGGAGCTCATCCCGCAGCGAGGTACAGCCAGAGGGCGGTGGACACCCGGCCTGGGGGAGCCAGGGCTGCCGGCCGGTGGCCAACTGCAGTCCCTCCCATGCCTCCCGGCAGGCCCCTGCCCCGACGGGCACTTCTACCTGGAGCACAGCGCCTCCTGCCTGCCCTGCTTCTGCTTCGGGGTCACCACCGTGTGCCAGAGCAGCCGCCGCTTCCGCGACCAGATCCACTTGCGCTTTGACCGGCCCAACGACTTCAAAGGTGTGTTGGTGGGTGGGCGGGCATGGTGGGAGGTGGGAGGTGGGCACAGGGCTCCGGTGGCCAGAGAGAGCAGCTGTGGACAGAGGCAGCCAGCTTGCAGGGAGGAACGCGGGGTCTCTGAAGAAACACTGAGCCCTGTAAGGAAAGCATTTCAGAGGAAAATCATCATTTTTAGGAAAAGCCAAATCCATGCTTGATACCTGCCTGCTTCAGGTATAAAGAGGGTGGGCTCTAGAACCAGATTCCTGGCCCAAGTCCTGACCCTGACACTCACTGCCTGTGTGGTCAAGTCACTATCTTGTGTCTGTCTCAGTTTTCTCATGTGTAAAATGGGGAGAAAATACCTCCTAGGTTTTTATAAGGACTTAACGGACTGATGTATGTAAGCTGCTCAGAATAGTACTCGGTCCATGGTCAGCATCCAGTATTTGCTGATGTCATTGTCCTCACCATCTTCATTGTAAGACAGAGGTGCAGGTGTCCCCAGAGTACAAGAGCCCAGGCTTTGGTAGCTTCCCAGCCCGCGGCTGACCTCCGGCTGCACCTCTCACTGCCTGTGTGACTTTGGGAAATTTTCTTGGCTTCTCTGGGCCTGTTTTCCCCAGTATAAAGGCCAGGAGTTGCACTCAGTTCTTTCTGGCTCTGAGGCACAATGGCAGGCGGCTGAGAGTGTGAGCCCAGACATCACACAGCCCTGGGTTCAAGTCCCAGCTCTGACTTCAGGCAGCCCTGGTCCCGCTCAGCTGCCTTTCCTCATCGCAGAGGATGACGTGCTTGTCGCGGCGTCAGCTCCTTCCACAGCAAGTTCCCAAGAGATGTTGCCTACTATGCCCCTTCCTTGGTTGAGAAGCCCCAAAGGGACTTGTGCAAAACTTAATTATCTTCCCAAGTTGTCCCGCACTGTATTTAGAATACTGAAGGCCATGGCCACCATTCGGTGAGCATGCAGTTGGCACTGTGGCTTGATATGACAATTGTCGAATGGCCAATAATTCTTGCAAAAGAGGGCTGTTTTTACAGTTTCGAGATGAGATTCCTGAGGCTCTGAGAGGCCGTGGGGCTCCCTGCCTGGGGTCACACGGCTGTTAGAGGCAGAGCCGGAACCCAGGGCCGTCTGATTGGAATGTGCATGGTCAGCGAGGGTGGGAGTCCAGGGCGAGCAGGTGGCCTGTGAGCGGGTGGTGACCAGGAGGAAGGAGGTCTAAAGACGTCCCCAGGAGGAAGGGAGGAAAGAGGGCGGTGGAGCCTGGACTCGGGGCTGGACTCCGGGTTGCGGGGAGTCACCTTCAGGCTCAGGCGGAGAAGCCATGGCAGACAGACCTGGACCCAGCGTAAGGAAGAACTTGCTAAGGGGCGGCCCGTCCGGAGCTGGGAGGGACTGCCTTTGGAGGCAGTGGGCTCCCCATCTGTTAGAGCCGCGCCGTCCAAGATGGCGGTCACTAGCTTTGCGTGGCTCTTTAAATGTAAATAAAGTGACTCGTTCCTCAGCCGCACTAGCCACCTTTCCAGTGCTCAGTCGCTGCATGTGGCAGTCGCTACCACATCAGAGAGTACAGGGACGGGACACTTCCATCGTCACAGAAGTTCTCTTGGATGGTTCTGCCCCAGAGGTCAGGGAAGATGCCGTCGAGGGAATTCCTGTGTGTGTGTGCGCGCATGCGTGTGTGTGTGCGTGTGTGTGTGTGTGTGTGTGTGTGTGTGTGTATGTGTGTGTGTGTAGAAGAGGGTTGTAGAAGAGGGTTGGACTAGATGACCTGCCAGCCACGAGAAGAGCTAACCATTTTATATCCATTCGTTCGGTTCATCTTCATACTATGCACATAATCTGTGTGGCGGGCCACTTCTAACACCATTTTACTGGTAGAAAAACCGAGGGCTTTGCCTGGGGCCTGCACATCTGGAGCGCGGTGGAGCCAGGACTAGGTGCCTGCTCTCCCACCCTGTGTAGCTCTCTGCTGCCCCCACAAGGGCTGTTCCAACCCTGACCACCCGTGAGTCTCTCAGCAAGCGAGAGGCTCTGAGAAGTCCTGCTGCAGAGAATCCCCTTTCTTCAGCCCTGTGGTTTCCAGATGCTTCCCAGCCATCCTTCCAGAGCATCGGCTTTCCCCAGAGCATGTTTTGGGAGATGGTGCTCCAAAACTTTGCAGGAAAACAAAAACAAAAAACATGGGGAGAAGAAGAAAACTTTGCTTTCTCTTAACTTTGGGAGAGAGACCAAAGTTTTCTCTAAATCAAATTTCCCCCCAGAACTTTCCTGTCTTCCTGGGTTGCCACCTCTCAAGGTGGGTGTCTCAGGCAGGCACGTGCTGCGGCCCTCAGCCCTCCCTGTTGTCACCCGCAGGCGTGAACGTGACAATGCCTGCGCAGCCCGGCATGCCACCCCTGTCCTCCACCCAGCTGCAGATTGACACTGCCCTGCAGGAGTTCCAGCTGGTCGACCTGTCCCGCCGCTTCCTCGTCCACGACTCTTTCTGGGCTCTGCCTGAGCAGTTCCTGGGCAACAAGGTGAGGGGCCGAGCTGCCCCCCTGGGTGGAGAAAGGGCTGAGCCCGCCTTCCATGCTCGGGGCCCAGGTGGGCTCTGCTGCCCCTGAAGCTGGTGGGCAGCAGGGCTCCACCTCACTCTGGGGGTAAGTTGTCATGCCTCCCACTGTGGCAGCAGCTCGTTCATTCAAGGCAGGACCTCTCCCTGCCTCTCTTGGCTTGGGAAAAAAGCAGCACCCTCTCCTCCCGGAAGCCCTCCCTGACTAGTCCCCCACACCTGGGCTGGGTTCAGTGCCCCCGTGCTGGCCTCCCTGGGCACCTTTTGCACAGCATCTCCATACTCCCCTGCCATGGACAGAGCACCCCAGAGGCAGCGCCTGGGTCTCACCCAGGAGCAGCAGGTCAGCAGAATGGAGGCATGGACATGACTGCTCCTGTTGGCCTAGTGGGCATCAAGTGTGCCCACGGCTGCCTGCCCTGATCCCCCTGTCTTGGCCAGGTGGACTCCTATGGCGGCTCCCTGCGCTACAAGGTGCGCTACGAGCTGGCGCGTGGAATGCTGGAGCTGGTACAGCGGCCGGACGTGGTCCTCGTGGGCGCCGGATATCGCCTCCTCTCCCGAGGCCACGTGCCCACCCAACCCGGCACTCTGAACCAGCGCCAGGTCCAGTTCTCGGAGGTGGGTGGCACCTGAGCCTTCAGGCCTGGGGGTGAAGGGGGCTGTGGGCTGGGTGGGCGCTGATGTGCGACCCTCCCCACCTTCGCCCACCCCCAGGAGCACTGGGTCCATGAGTCCGGCCGGCCGGTGCAGCGAGCAGAGCTGCTGCAGGTGCTGCAGAGCCTGGAGGCCGTGCTCATCCAGACCGTGTACAACACCAAGATGGCCAGCGTGGGGCTGAGCGACGTCACCATGGACACCACCGTCACCCACGCCACCAGCCACGGCCGTGCCCACAGCGTGGAGGAGTGCAGGTGCCTGACCCAGCAGCACTGGGGACCACGGAGGCCCTGGCGACCACGGAGGCCCTGGCAAGGACAGAGGAGAAACGGCAGGGCCTCACAGTCCCTGCAGCCACTCTCTTGGTCCTGTCCTCACAGGTGCCCCATTGGCTATTCCGGCTTGTCCTGCGAGAGCTGCGATGCCCAGTTCACCCGGGTGCCTGGCGGGCCCTACCTGGGCACCTGCTCTGGCTGCAATTGCAATGGCCACGCCAGCTCCTGTGACCCCGTGTATGGCCACTGCCTGGTGAGTTGTGCCAGCTGGCACTTGGATACTACATGGGAGCAGGGACGGGCTCCTTTGTACCCATAAGCTTAGCACAAGCCTCCAGAATGACTACCAGGCGAGCTGTCGTGACCTCTGGATGCATTAACAGAGATATAATGTCCAGACAAGGGAGGTGATGGCCTTACTCTCTTCCACCTTCATCAGGCTAATCCTGGAGAGGGCCATGTGAGAAAGCATGGCCCTTGGGAAGGCAGCCCTAGGGGGAAGGAGCCTGGATATGGTATCTTCCTTCTTTTTTAAATTTTATTTTGAGTTAGGGTCTTGCTCTGTTGCCTGGTCTAAAGTGCAGTGACATGATCATAGTTCACGGCAACCCCAAACTCCTGAGTTCAAACAATCCTCCTGGCTCAGCTTCCTAAGTAGGTAGGACTATAGGCACGTGACATAACACCTGGCTAAATTTTTTTATTTTTTGTAGAGATAGGATCTCACTGTGTTGCCCAGACTAGTCTTAAACTCCTGGCCTCAGGTGATCCTCCTGCCTCAGCTTCCCAAAGTGCTAGGATTACAGGCATGAGCCACTGCACCCAGCCCATACCTATTTCTTAGAATTAGTGGAGACAGCTGGGACTGTGGAGCTGACAGAGGGGAAGGTTTAAGCAGGGCAGAACTGTTACGTCCAAATCCCTGAAAAGGTGTCAGGTGGGAGAAATGGGACTCCAGAGGGCAGAACTGGCCAGTGGGTGCAGATTGCAAGAGGGTAGTGGGTTTAGGAAAATGTGAAAGCAGGCATTTGGAACCATTTCTGGGACAGGCTGCCATGTGAGGTGATGAGCTCCCCGTCATCTATAAGAAGATGCAGCTGCTGCTCCCCTGTCTGCAAAGCTGTGGAGTGATTCCAGCATGCCAGGCGAGGCTGGGCCAGATAGTCTCAAAGGCCCACGGCAGAGGCCATCCAGCCCAGTTCTGCTCAGTAGAACCTGAGACACTCCCTCCTTCTCCCCCTAGAATTGCCAGCACAACACGGAGGGACCACAGTGCAACAAATGCAAGGCCGGCTTCTTTGGGGACGCCACAAAGGCCACGGCCACTGCCTGCCGGCCCTGCCCTTGCCCATACATTGATCCTTCCCGAAGGTCAGACCCAGCCCAGGGTGGGGCAGATTTGGCCTCGGGAGGTGCGGGCAGTGCCCCAGGCTGGGGGAATGCTCTATCTGGGCAGAAAGGCAGGAGACCTGGATTCCAATGCCATCCTGGTCACCGAGTGGTCTCATGCTTCTTGATCTCAGCTTTCTTTTCTGTATAATGGGCCCATCTGCCTTCCCACAGCTGCTATGAGGCTGCAGGTCAAGAACAGGTGGGCAGGGAGACGGTGTGGACAGGAGTCATTGCCTAGGGTGGGAGTGTACGGCCTGACCCCAACCCTGCCCCACACCCTCGGTACCCACAGATTTTCGAACACTTGCTTCCTGGATACAGATGGCCAAGCCACATGTGACGCATGTGACCCAGGCTACACGGGTCGCCGCTGTGAGAGGTGAGGGAGAACCTCAGGGGCTGCGGGAAGCGGGCTGTACCAGGTGGGGCCGCGGAAGTGCCCCTGACAGCCCCCTCTGTCACTCCCCCAGCTGTGCCCCCGGATACGAGGGCAACCCCATCCAGCCGGGCGGAAAGTGCAGGCCCACCAGTGAGTATCGCAGCCGCCCTCCCCCAGCACCTCCCTGGGCTGCCCACCAGGCCCCCTCCCTCCCTGCCTCAGCCTGTGACACTGGGGGAGCACCCTCCTCTGTCCCTCTGTCTATCCCATTCCCGCCTGCCCGGCCAACACCCACTTTGTGCCCCAGACCAGGAGATTGTGCGCTGCGATGAGCGAGGCAGCATGGGGACCTCTGGGGAGGCCTGCCGCTGCAAGGTATGTATGGCGTCCCCACCCGGGGAGAGGGAGGAAGGAGGAAGGAGGCTCCATCTTCTCTCCATAGCTCCTTGGCCAGAGGGTGCTGTCCTAGCCAGGGGTTGGTGGGCCTAGCTGGCTGGTCTCCCACACCGTGAAAGCTGGCCCGATACTGGGAAAAAGCATGCGTTAGGGAGTCAGGTGACCCGAGTTCCAGTCCCAGTCACTCTTTGTGCGGCCTTTGTGTCTGCATTGTGCCTTCGCTTTGACCACACTTTGTCAGTTCCCACGTGGACACAGGCTGCAGGCATTGGCATCCCCAGTGTGTGGATGAGGAAATGAAGGCTCAGAGAAGGGAAATCATTTGCATTAAGAACGGGAGAATCAAGTGTCCGTGGAAAAAAGAACTAGACATATTTTGGAGTCAGGCACTCCTGATCTTAAATCGCAGAGTGGATGAGCAAGCTGAGTGACCTTGTGCAACTCATTTCACGTCCCTATGCCTCAGTTTCCTCATGTGAGGGATGGACACATCACCTTCCTCTCAAAGTACTTAGGAGAGTTAGATGAGTTGATGGTTGAACAGCAACTAGCACAGTGCATGAAACACTTCATAATTAGTAGCAGTAATTATTTTCATCAAATTGCTATATTTCAAATCTAAATTTACTTGTGAGCCCCCCGGCAGCCAAAGAGAAAAGGGGAAAATGGTTGCATTAGCCCTCATTGACTGGGAATTATTGTTCAGATGGTAGTGATGCCTCATACGCGTGCTCTTTCAGTGGTTCCCTGGGCCTTGGGTCCCCATCTAGACTGTGGGCAGATTTAGCCAGAAGCTCCAGGCAGCCCCTCCCGTGGGCTATCCTGCAGCTCCCAGCTCTGTGCCTGCAGAACAACGTGGTGGGGCGCTTGTGCAACGAGTGTGCCGATGGCTCTTTCCACCTGAGCGACCGGAACCCCGACGGCTGCCTCAAGTGCTTCTGCATGGGTGTCAGTCGCCAGTGCACCAGCTCTTCCTGGAGCCGCGCCCAGGTACCTAGGCAAGGCGGGCAGGCAGGTGGTAGCACTGCCGAGCCAGGGCTGGATGAACCTAGCACCAGCCCCAGGCCGTGGCCCCCATCCCAGCCCTTTCTCCCGCTCCCAGGTGCTTGGGGCCTCCGAGCCGCCTGCTCAGTTCGGCCTGACCAATGCCGCAGGCACCCACACCACCACCGAGGGCATCCACTCGCTGACGCCGGGGGAGCTGGTTTTCTCCTCCTTCCACAGCCTCCTATCTGGACCCTACTTCTGGAGCCTCCCTTCACGCTTCCGGGGGGACAAGGTGGGTAGGGGGTGGGAAGGGAAAGGGAACTCCGGGCAGCAGGAAGAGCCCAGGCAAAGGCCTGGGAGCAGGAGTGTCGTGGTACCTTGAGAGAGTGACGAGATGCTGTGTGTGGAGAAGGCGGCTGGAGCAGCGACCGGGCCCGACCGCGGGCCTCTGCTGAGCGCCTGTCCACCCCGGCTCCCAGGTCACTTCCTACGGAGGAGAGCTGCGCTTCACAGTGACCCAGCAGCCCCAGCCCGGCTCCACGGCCCTGCGCGGGCAGCCGTTGGTGGTGTTGCAGGGCAACGGCATCGTCCTGGAGCATCACAGCTCCCAGGAGCCCAGCCCCGGCCAGCCCAGCTCCTTCACGGTGCCCTTCCGGGAGGTGAGCAGCGCAGTCCCAGTAGTCCATCCCAGGGGTAGGGCGGGGGCAGGCCCTTGCCCCTCTCACTCAGGGGCGTCGACACCCCAGGATGTTTGAGCACATGTGTCCTTTCCTTGGCAGCAAGCCTGGCAGCGGCCCGACGGGCAGCCAGCCACGCGGGAGCACCTGCTGATGGCGCTGGCGGGCATCGATACCCTCCTGATCCGGGCATCCTACACCCAGCGCCCCGCTGAGAGCAGGTGTCTGGGGCCGGGGCAGGGCGGTGGGAGTGGGGTCGGGCGGGGGCTCCAGTCTGAGCAGTGCAATGCGCTGCAGCCACATTGCCAGCTCTGCCACTTACGGGCTGTGTGGCCTTTTTGTGCCTCATTTTCCCCTTTTGTAAAATGGCCATTGTAACAATGCCTCCCTCTCAGGGCCTTTCTCAGGTTCCTTAGAAGCGAAGCCTGAGAGGGGGCCTGGGGCACACATGATTCACAGGAGGACCTGTAGGGGAGGGAGGGACGTGGGGCGGGGAAGGGGTCAAGCAAGGATGTGGTCTTGGGTCAAGCTGAGCCTCAGCCTCATCCCACGGGGACCTCTGGAGAGCAGATAGCGCTGCAAAGTCACCTTACTTTGAGGCAGATGGGCTTTTGCACCCTGTATCTGCCAGCCCCCAGGCACCCTGGGGAGCAGGTGGTATAACCTCTCTGGGTGCAGAAGTGTAATCCTTTGGAGAAAATTGCAGGTGTAAGCCATTCGCCATGCCCCTCACAGCAGGGGGCTTCTGGACAGGGCTGTCAGGGGGACTAATGAGATCCCCCCAGCATGGGCCTCCAGGCCTACCTGGCCCAGAGTAAGTGCTCATTCATAGTGGGTCTTGTCACGCCCAGGGTCTCTGGCATCAGCATGGACGTGGCTGTGCCTGAGGACACCGGCCAGGACCCCGCGCTGGAAGTGGAGCAGTGTACCTGTCCAACCGGTTACCGTGGCCCATCCTGCCAGGTGAGCCCTGGGCCCCGTCCAGCCAGCTCCCTCCAAGGTGCTCCCAGGCCCTCCTCCACTAGTTCTCCCCACCTGCCCAGACCCACCCCAGCCTTGGCCACCCGGTACTCCTGCCCAGGTCGGTCCCTGTCCAGAAAGCCCCTCCCACTGCCATCTTCCTGCCCCCAGGACTGTGACACAGGCTACACACGCATGCCCAGCGGCCTCTACCTGGGCACCTGTGAACGCTGTAGCTGCCACGGCCACTCGGAGGTGTGCGAGCCTGAAACAGGCGCCTGCCAGGTGAGTGGTGGCCTCCTTCCTCCCACCCCAGGGATCTGTGGCCTCCAGGGGCCCAGTCTCAACCCACTCTCTGCCCCTTCAGGGCTGCCAGCACCACACGGAGGGCCCTCGGTGTGAGCAGTGCCAGCCGGGATACTACGGGGACGCCCAGCGGGGGACACCGCAGGACTGCCAACTGTGCCCGTGCTATGGAGCCCCCGCTGCTGGCCAGTGCGTCCCTGCCCGTGTCTGACCTTCCCTGAAACGTCCACCACCCTCTCCCACGCTCCTTTCTTCCCGGGCCCTTCTGCGAGGCAGTGGTTAAGTCCTGGCCTTACCCTGCCTCAATGTGTCACTTTTAGGGCCTCGACTTCCTCATCTGTGAAATGGGGGTATGCCACCCACCTTGGCCCCTAGTGTGAGAATTGAATGAGGTCCTTAGCTCAGTGCCTGGCACACAGGGGACACTTGGGACACATTAGTTCACATGCCCCCTACCCCTCCCTTCTCCCTGGACCTGAAGAAGGGTCAGGGGAGAAGAAAGAGCCGCTGCCTTTCTGATGGGAAATTTGCCCCCCACACTCTCAGGGCTGCCCACACTTGCTTTCTGGACACAGACGGCCACCCCACCTGTGACGCTTGCTCCCCGGGCCACAGCGGGCGGCATTGTGAGAGGTAAGGTGGATGGCGGGGAATGTGGGGGCGGGTGGAGGGCCCGCCCCTAGAGTCATCGGGCCGGGCCCAGCCCTCCCATCCACTCTTACACGGGGCCCAGTGTAATGCTTGGGAGCCTCAGCCTCTAGTCTGGCATGCGAGACCCTCAGACATCCTGGCCCATGGTTCCCCTCGAGCCCCCAGGACCCCCTGCCCCAGCCAGGCCAGAGTCTTCCGGCAAAACCCCTCATGCTTGCCAAAGGTCCTGGCTCGAGGCCCGATAGCGCTAACTCACTGGCCGTGAGGTCCAGGGCACGTCCCTGCTCTTCCCCCACTGTCTCCCCGGCTGTCAAACGGGCGAGTCAGGCTGCGGTTTCCTCCAGCGCACGAGGCCCTTGAGTCCAACACGGGCCCCAACACAGTCCTGGGATTCTGCTCCTTCATCGGAAGTTCATCAGAGCCTTTCTCTCTCTGCAGGTGTGCCCCAGGTTACCATGGAAACCCCAGCCAGGGCCAGCCGTGCCGAAGTGAGTAGGGTTGGGGACATCGTTGGGGTTGGCTGCCCAGTCTCTCCTAGGAGTGAAGCTGGGATGGGCTTTGTTCTCCTTTGGCTGTACCTTCCTGAGCCTCAGCTTTTCCATCTGTAAAATGGGGTTACGAACAGCCCCCACCACCTCCGAGTGCTTGCCGTGAGAGTGTAGAGTGCCCACGTCAAAAATAAATGCTCCCCTCAGTGGTGAGCTGGGTGCTCAGAGAGTGCTGGGAATGGGGGTGTTTGGCAGTGCATTTGGGGCTCCAGCCGTGGCTTTCCTCCACCGCAGGAGATGGCCAGACGCCAGAGCCCATAGGCTGTGGCTGCGACCCCCAGGGCAGTGTTGGCAACCAGTGTGATGCCGCTGGTCAGTGCCAGTGCAAGGTCAGTCCCAACCCCTGCCCTCTGGGAGGCCCGCCCTGCCTGCCGCCCAGGCCTGGAGGGAAATCAGGCAACGTCTGACAGGAGCTGGGGCCTGGGCAGGGCGGGGGAGGGCCGGGGCTGCCCAGAACTGCCGGAAGTGGCAGGGAAGGCTGGCCTAGGCTGCTGGGGGTGCAGGACCCCCACTCAACTACCTGCCTGCATCTATCCATCCACCCAGGCCCAGGTGGAAGGCCTCACCTGCAGCCACTGCCGGCCCCACCACTTCCACCTGAGTGCCAGCAACCCCGACGGCTGCCTGCCCTGCTTCTGCATGGGTGTCACCCAGCAGTGCGCCAGCTCCTCCTACACCCGCCACCTGGTGAGAGCCTGTGTCGCCCCAGCACTGGGGCGGGTGGGCCTGGCACTCCCTGGCTCCTCATGGGGCAAGCCTGGCCCCCACCGCCCCCATGACTGCCCGTCTCAGCACTGAGCCCAGCGGCCTTCACCCCGTCCTAATACCCTCCCCGTGCCCCCTCTAATTCTCCCCGAGCACTGATCTCAGCAAGCCCCCATTACCCACCCTCGCGCCCTCCCGTGCCTCGTCCCCCACCAAGTTACCTGCCCCAGTGCCAGGCTGACACCCTGTCCTCCCTCCACTGGCAGATCTCCACCCACTTTGCCCCTGGGGACTTCCAAGGCTTTGCCCTGGTGAACCCGCAGCGGAACAGCCGCCTGACAGGAGGCTTCACCGTGGAACCTGTGCCCGAGGGTGCCCAGCTGTCTTTTGGCAACTTCGCCCACCTCGGCCACGAGTCCTTCTACTGGCAGCTGCCGGAGCCGTACCAGGGAGACAAGGTGTGATGTGCCGCGGGGGCTGCAGACCGTCCCCGAGCGCCAGCCCTGAGCCAGGCCCCTGCTGTGCTGTGCACCGGGGTCACCTGTGCGTGGTTTCGGCCAGCAGGCAGGCGTCCGCCGTGTTGTGCCATATCGTGGGGAAGCGTGTGGCCTTTGGGGTCCGATAGATGTTGGTCTGAATCCCAGCTCTGCGGCTTGCCGGTTGGACACCTTATCATAAACCCCAACTCCAGGGCGCTGGGAGGATGGGAGCTCGTGCCTGGCACGTGAGGGTTCAACTGTTAATGATTATTAGCTTTTGTGCAGTTATTCAACAAACAGGGCCTGAGCGAGGCCCTCGGAACACAAGGACGCGTGAAACACGGTTTCCGTGTCATTCGTTTGCTCACTCATTCCCGTCGCTGGCTCTGGGCCTGGTGCTGGACGTGAGAATTCCCATAGGTCACGTTTACAGGCTCTCATTACGTGCTCGGCATTGTTCAAGCACTTTCCACGTCACAACTCAAACCTGTGTGAGCCAGGTACTGCTGCTGCCTGTTTCATAACTGAGGAAACCAAGGCCAGAGAGGTTGGGTAATTTACCTAACGTCCCACAGCTCGTAGGTGGCAATGCCAGGATTCAAGTGCAGGTCAGAGGCCGCCCTTAGAATACTGCACTCGTCACAGGTGAACGTGGCTTTGGGGCTCCCAAGCACGGTCTTGGGGGGAAGGTGATGGTGACGGTGTTGGGGCAGGGTCTCAGGGCTAGACTCCAGGGCAGGCTGCCCAAGTGTGTTCCTCGAGCAGCCTCGGCCACCTGGTGGTACCCGGGGAGAGTCCCCTGCTGGACAATAGGAGGTCGCTGCTGACCGAGGCCAGCGCTCCAGCAGATTCGTCTCGAGGGCCAGGGATTGGGGCACCGAAAGGACAGAGCCACATACCCTGGGCTCTCCCAGGGCTGGTCCCTTCTCCCTCCTCGGGCTGCTCCTGTCCTGGCCTCCCGCCGCCCTGTCCTGCAGCTCTCTGACCTGTCTCTGTCTCCTCTCCCGGTGCTCCCCATGCCCCGCAGAGGGAGGCATACTTTGCGCGGCTGCGCCGGGCTCACCAGGTAGGCCCCGGCGGGATGTGAGTGTGACGTTGGTGTGACGCAGCATGGTGCATTCTCAGGCGCCCTGAGCCCGGTGTGGCCTTGGGATCTGCATGAACCCAGGCGGTGACCCGCGGCCCCCAGGGTCAGGGCACTGCTGTGCCTAAGCCCTGCGATGCCAGGAGGGCTGTGTGGTCTGGTCCTGGTGCCAGCCGTCTAAGGTCAGAATGGTGACCGAGGTAGTAGGGACACTAACTCGATGCTAATCCACATGACTGTATCTGGCCCACCGGGTTCCCCTCGCGCTGCCTCCTAAGCAACCACCATTAACCCCTGTGTGCGCATGCCCCCAAGGGCCTGGAGTGAACCCCCGAGTGCCATCCTGGAGGGGGGAGCATGCATCTTTCTTCCCAATCAGTGTGGGCCTTTCTGGCCACCACGTCCGTGGGTAGAGGACCCCGGGAGGCCTGAGCTGGCCTGTGCCCTCCATCCCATCAGAACCGCACATCCCTCTCAGAGGAGCAGTTGCGGGCAGCCGTGACAGCTGGGAGGATCCTGGGGCCCCCAGAGGGCAGAGCCCGGGCACAGCGGGCATCACAGGTAACCGAGGGCCTGGCCGGGACAGGCTGTGTCTGGGGCCCCAAGGAGGAGACCAGAGAGCGTAGTCCAAGCAGGAGCCTTGAACCAAGGCCCTGGCCCTCCTGGGCCATTTTCCCCCATGCCAGCCCAGGCCCGGCCTGGTGCCCAGTCCACTCGGTGTTGCCCTTGGGAAACATTCCAGAGCATGAATGGCTTGGGCTAGTGCCAGGGCACACACGGAGAGTCAGGCCGGGGAGCAGCCTCCCCGCCACAGATGCTACTGGGGCTGCCTCCAGCACTCTGGCCTTGGCAGGGCAGAGCTATCTGCCCCCCTTGCTGGGCACCCTCTGCAGGGCTTCCACCAACAGTCACAGCCTGTAGGCAGCTAAGCCCAGCCCAGGATACCCCCACCTGGCTCAGGAGGAGCAAGAGGGCAGTGGGTACAAGGGCCAGAACAGATGGCACAGAGGGACAGCTGGCTGAGCCTGGGTGCATCCTGGGGCCGGCAAATGCTCACAAACATCCATTCTGTCCCTCTCCGCTCCCTTCCTCTGTCCTCCTCTCCCGGTCCCCCAGGTGGACGAGGCCCAGAGGCGGATGGATGCTGAGATCTGGCAGCTCCTTTCCAGCTTTGCTGCCCACCCCCAACCCCCTCCCGGGGGGCTCTCCCCCCATACCCAGCATGCAGCTGCTCTGAGAGCGGCTCCCCCCTCCTCCTCCTTCTCCTCCTCCTCCTCCTCCTCCTCCTCCTCCTCTTCCTCCTCGGCTTCTCTGTCTTCCCCAGCAGGCTCTCAGGTATGTGCCAAGTCACTCACCAAGGGACCCCCACCCACCTTGCTTTCTAGCCTCCAGTCATTTCTGAACCAACTTCACAATTCTTCGCACTACCTAGACTACCAACTTCGCATTTTCCTTTAAATCGATGATATACACATTAAAAGAGCTGCTCAATTTTAAAATGTTTACCAATGTGCCACACAAACATTGGGGTCCGCAAGAGATGGACCCAGACCACGCCCAGGGGGAGCAGCTGGGTGTCCGGGTCCAGAGCGGGGAGGAGGTTGTCACAGAACAGGGCCGGGACCTGCGCTGTTGGGTGGGGTGCTCTGTCCCTCTGCCCTGCTGCCAAGCCTCCCCTGGGTGGCTGTCCACCCCTATGGGGACTGTCTCTGCACTGTTGTCCCCACCCCCCAACCCCCTCAGCTCTCACTGCCTGTCCTTCTGTCCTAGTTCTCTCTGTCCTACGAAGGCTTCTCTCTGCTTCCCGGAAGCCTCTATTATTGGCAGCTGCCCCAGGCCTTCCTGGGGGACAAGGTAATAGGGAGTTGGGGGTGCCATAGAATCCTACGATATTAGCGAGCCCTCGTCGAAGCCTTTTATGACACAAATGGGTAGACCAAGGCCCATGGGGAGGGTGCGAGGGCCTTGCCTGGGGTCCCACGTTCAGGTCAAAGCACAGCTGAGACTGAACTCAGCCCTGCTCCTGCCCTTCCGCCAGCCCCTGCCCCTGGCTCCTGGCCGAGGGGCTGTCTCACCTGGAGCATTTCTCTCTCTCTCTACTCTGGGCTCCCTTAACCCGAGTCCAGGTCGCCGGCCTAGGTCTTGGTACTGCGCGCATCCGTTCCGAAAGCATTCACTAGGCTTCCTGGGTGCTGTACCAGCGTGCGGGTGGGAGGGGCCCCGGCCGCCCGGCCCCCGTTCGTCAGATCGTCGCTCCTGTCACACCAGCAGTGTCGCTGCCGTCAGCGGCAGCCACTCTGGCATTAGTACGCGTGTCAATGCTGCCTCCTTCTTGCTTCCAAAGCAGTTGGGGGTGCCCCTTAAGAATGCAGACAGTGCGTGATAAAGTAACACTCAGAAGTAGGACAGTCAGGGCGCGGGCTGGGGGAGGGTGGACCTGCCAGAGCCGGGGCAGGGCTGGAAGCAGCACGGGGTCAGCGGGCGTCGGAGCGCTCGGTGCTGTGCTGAGTGCGACACTCTACATGTCCCGTGTTCCCCAATCCTCACAGCGCCCTTCACAGTAGCCGTGACTTTTACTCCCGTCTCCGTACAAGGAAAGCAGGGCTCAGAGAGGTTAAGTGCCTTGTCCGAGGTCGTAGAGCTGGACCTTGAACCCAGGTCTCTCGGGCTGTGGAGTCTGCCCCTTCACCACGGTGCTGTACGTGCCTGCAACTTGCTAGAAAGTTGGTCCCAGCCACGGCTGTGAACTTGCTGGCATCCAAAGCAAACAGGAAACCTGTTGTTTCATGGTTTTCTGGTTATGTCCTGAATTCCTTTCCACACCCTGAGCTTGTGGAAAACATCCCTCAGGCCCACGTAGCCCAGGGCCTGGTACCCAGGCCGTAGGTGTTTGATAAATACCGGCTGAACGAGCACACAAAGGGACAGATGGGGACAGCCTGACGCAGTGCGGTATTGAGCTGGACGTCGGCCCTGGTGACAGAGGAAGGGAAAGTCCCGCGGGGCAGAGCTGGGGCCTCGGCTGCCGGTGTGACAGCCCCTGCGACACACATAGGGACTCTTCAGTCATGAGCAACAGAACACCCAAGTCTGGCCGGCCCGTCTGTAGCAGAGACCCCATTGGCTCATGCGGTCGCAGGGCCGAGGACGTGTGGTGTCAGTCGTGGCTGGGTCCGGGCTCCTTAGGGCTCTGTCTCTGTTGGCGCCGCTCTCCAGCTTCTCGTCTGAGTTTCTCTGTCCCAGTAGAAAGAGCAGAAGTGCCTGGGTCACTTGTCCATCCTGAGGGGGCAGTGGTGGGATACGCAGATTGGCCAGGCCCGGCTCACGTCTCCACTGTCGGGGGGGTGGGCCCCCCCAAACCACGCGGCCTGCGTGTGGGGGAAGTTGTTCTGTGGTTGCAGCAAGGAGGGATTGGATTCTGGGCAGACAAAACCTCCTGCCCAGGAGGCGAGGCCTCCGAGGGGCCACCCTCTGCTCCACCCCGTGGCCGAGAACTTGCCAACCTTCTGCAGCCTCCCCGTGACAGTCCCTGTCACTACCCTTGTCTGCTTTAGGGGAAATTCCTGTAAATGGAAGGGAGGGAGAGCTCGTGTGCTGGGACCGTTGGGCAGTGGGGAATGGGGAACCACACAGAACAGAACAAGCCTGCTCAGGGTCGTCACCACCACGGCTGACGGCGGAGGACTGAGAGGTGTCCTGTTTGCCGGGCAACCACAGTCCGGGCATCCTGGCCTCTTGGGTTGGGGCAGAGGGGAGCACAGCACAGGTGCATCAAGGTCTCGAGAGGCTCCTCGCCCACCTGTTTGGTCAAGCACTCACAGCCCAGAGGAGGGCATGTCACCTCGTGACCGCTGGGCTTGCCTTTGCAGGTGGCGGCCTACGGCGGGAAGCTGCGGTACACACTTTCCTACACGGCAGGGCCTCAGGGCAGCCCGCTCTCGGACCCCGATGTCCAGATCACAGTGAGTATGCGGACTCCACGCCAGTGGGCAGAAGGGGAAGATGGAAGCCAGGGGCACCCTCAGCGTCTGTCCTTTCAGTCCAGTACTCAGCTGACCCAGCACCGGCTGGGGGTCAGGCCCACACCCCGGCCCCACGGCCTGGGTGTTCACTTCCCAAGCAGAGGTCCAGCTGCTGGGAGGAGTGTCTGACTCCTTTGGGCACATGAGCTTGCTCAAGCAGAGAGGTGGGCGGCTGGGACTGGTGGAGGACGCCCCTTTCACCCCCAAGAGCCCCTCAGTTCCCCTGGTGTCTCCCCAGGGCAACAACATCATGCTGGTGGCCTCCCAGCCAGCGGTGCAGGGTCCTGAGAGAAAGAGCTACGAGATCGTCTTCCGAGAGGTGAGGGGCACTTGGCCACACCGTCTGACCCCACCCCGCCCTCCACCCTGATCTGGTGCCTGGCTTTGAGCCCCCCACTCCTGCCTCGCCCATGTTTGCTGTCCCCCTCCGCAGGAGTTCTGGCGCCGGCCCGATGGGCAGCCGGCCACGCGGGAGCACCTGCTGATGGCTCTGGCTGACCTGGACGAGCTCCTGGTCCGGGCCACGTTCTCTTCGGTGCCGCTGGCGGCCAGCATCAGCGCGGTCAGCCTGGAGGTCGCCCAGCCTGGGCCCTCGGTCGGACCCCGGGCCCTCGAGGTGGAGGAGTGCCGCTGCCCCCCGGGCTATGCCGGCTTGTCCTGCCAGGTGAGCATGTGGCCGGCCCAGCCACCTTGCGCAGGCACGGCTGCATCAGCAAGCTGATCAGCTGGCATCACCACGGCCTGCGATTACTATCAGAACTGCGATGACCCTGGCACCTGCGTCGTCACGTGTGTTCCTCCCAACACCCCTGGGATATGTGCAATTATCCCCTTTAACACATGCCCAAGGCACACATGTGGCAGAAACTCATTTGAAGCCAGGTCTGATTGGCTTCAAAGCCCAGCATGTCCTAACCACTGGGGGGTACTGCCCCCAGCATGGGCTGTGCTCTCCAGTGGTTAAGACCTAGCTTACGCCCTCCGAGTGCCCACCAGAGGCAGACACACAGAAGCACAGATTGCTCCAGCCCACACCCGAGGGGAGGGGTTCCGGGCTGCTGACTCGGGACAGGACCTGTTGGGATCGAAGACCGACCTTCCTCTCTGCCCTCAGGACTGCGCCCCCGGCTACACGCGCACTGGGAGCGGGCTCTACCTTGGCCACTGTGAGCTGTGCGAATGCAATGGCCACTCAGACCTGTGCCACCCGGAGACCGGTGCCTGCTCGGTGAGCTGCAAGCAAGGCTGGGGCAGGGGGTCATCTCAGCTGGGCCTGGGTGTGGGAACAGGGCCAGGAAGGTAGACCTAGATCCAGGGGCGAGGTCATGGGGCACGGCCTGTGGGTTGGAGCACCTAGGTCAGCAGGTGAGGTCACTGGGCATGGTGGGGTGTCCAGAGCTATGGAGATACATCCTTCTTTGTAAAGAAAACTTCGGTGTTGCTATTAATATTTTTAATCACCAAAGTGACACATATTCTCTGTAGAGAAGTCAGACTACAGAGAGAACCCAAAAAGAGAATAAAAATCCCCTGTAATCCTACGCCTGGGGGAATGACTGTCAACTTTAGAGTGAGTTCTCTTGCTCCCTTTCTGGGCAAATATGTACACACATTAATATACTTTCCATTTTCCAAGTTAACATAAAATCGTCGTGTTTGGTAATCAGCTTTTTCCCCTTATTAGTTCCTGAACATCTTTCTATATCGTTAAGTCTTTTTTTATACCTGGACTTGTCAGAGTAGTGTCTGTATAGCCTCGAGGGGACACGTCAGGGGCCGGCTGGTTGACAGGGCCACAAGCTAAACGTGGAGCAAGGACACGCTCTGTTGTTACAACAAACATGGATCTCCTCGCAGGAGACTGTGTAACTCACATGTGGTTTATGGTAAATCTCTGCCCCCAAATATCCAGGTGTATACCTTCACTTTCCTTTGATATTATAGGTATTTAGGTAGAAAAATATAAGAAATATAATCAATGTCATCTTTTTTGATAGCAGTTTGGATGAATGTACCTTTAATTTATCTAGTTCCCCACTCATGGATGTTTGGGTTTGTTTACAGCATTTTGCTTTAATAAACATCACTGAGATGAATATCCCCATGATGAAATCTTTGTGCCCTTCCATGATTATTTCTTTAAGATAAGTTCACAAACTTAGAATTTCTAGATCAAGGGATCGCAGAATTGAAAGGCTTTTGGTAAATTTTGCCAAATGGCTGCTGTCTAACATCCTTGTGCCTTGCAGCAATGCCAGCACAACGCTGCCGGGGAGTTCTGCGAGCTGTGTGCACCTGGCTACTACGGAGATGCCACGGCCGGGACGCCTGAGGACTGCCAGCCCTGTGCCTGCCCACTGACCAACCCAGAGAACATGTGGGTGCCCTTGTTCAAGGCCCAAGGACAAGATCCCACTGGGCGATGGAGGGCATTGCATCGGCTTTTGGGGCAGGCATGGGAGGAGCAAGATGGGGAGCGGGCTTCCTAGGACCTGACTTTTGCCTCCCCTACCCCAGGTTCTCCCGCACCTGTGAGAGCCTGGGAGCCGGCGGGTACCGCTGCACGGCCTGCGAACCCGGCTACGCCGGCCAGTACTGTGAGCAGTGAGTTTACAGACAGGAGGAGGGAAGGGTGGAGGACAAATGGCGGACTCCTAGATGAGAGCCCGAATGGCGTCGCTCAGAAAAGTCTCTACTAGGATTATGTTCTTTCCCGGCCCAAAACCCTTCCAAGACTCCACGCTGCCCTTGGAACAAGCCCAAGCTCCTTAGGCATCCTCACCGTGCGCCATTCTCATCCCACGTCTGACGCCCAACTTCTCTTTGCAAATTCTTGATGTTCAGATCTTGCATGTGCTGTCCCCTCTGCATGGAACATTCTTCACCCCCAAACCTCCCCTTCCTAACTCCTGCTCAGCCTTCAAGACTCGGCTTTACTCACTCGCTTGGCACATCTTTATCCGGCATCTGCTGTGTGCCCTGCAGCCTGCTGGGGTGTTGGAGATAAAGCGGTGACCAAAGCAGGTTCCATCCCAGCCGTTATGGAGTCTACCGCCTCTAATAGGAGACAAGACAGGAAAAGAGTAATCTTGCAAATATGCGTTTGCAAACCATGATAAGCTCTCTGAAAGAAGAGTGCAGCCTGCTCCGAGGTAATACAACAGCTCAGAAGTCCCATCCTCTGGAGAGCCCCCCTGATTCTCAGGGCTGAATGAATGCCCCCCTTTGGGCTCTCACAGCCCTGATAATGCTCCCCTCACTCTCATTTTGCATTTCCACATTGGGTTCCCAACTAGTAAGTTTCACAAGACCAGGGATTTCATCATGTTCATTGTTGTATTTCCAACACCTAGCACGGCACATACTAGTTGCTTAATAAACATTCATTGAATGAATGTTTCCCTGGAGAATAATTTACCTCCCTCATTAGTGAACCTGCTAACACTCCCCTACATTCTCCTTTCTCAGCTCACCCATGCCCTGTGTTGGGGCCTCTTTGGTCCCCAAAGTGCTTCAAGAACTCTGAGTCTGCTCACCCCACATGGGGCAGTCAGCCAAGCTTTTGGCTCCCCAAGTACGCCATGAGGCACTGGGATCCTTGGGGCCTGACAGAGCTTGTCCTTGTCCCCCTTGCAGGTGTGCCCCAGGTTACGTGGGTAATCCTAACGTGCGAGGGGGCCGGTGCGTGCCACAGAGTAAGTGGGACCATGGCCCAGGATGGGGGTGATGGGCAAGGCAGGGAGCCTGGCAGTTTGGGGGATACTAGGTCTGGGGACAACGCTGAGGGTGGGGCACCCCAGTCTCTGGGAGAGCAGAGATGTGTGAGACAAAGCTGCATGCTGGGGCCTCCTGCCCGACTGGCCTCTCCTGTCCCACCCCACCCCCAGCAAACCAGGCCCCCCTGGTGGTCCAGGTACATCCTGCCCGGAGCATCGTGCCCCAAGGCGGCCCCCACTCCCTGCGGTGCCAGGTCAGCGGGAGCCCACCCCACTACTTCTACTGGTCCCGTGAGGATGGGCGGCCCTTGCCCAGCAGCACCCAGCAGCGACATCAAGGTACCCATGGCCCCAGGCTCCTCAGCCCCTTGAGCCACCACAGCGGGGCTGGATGGGAGAAGGGGCACAGCTGCACTCACAGGCTCGCACCCCCTCCCACCAGGCTCTGAGCTCCACTTCCCCAGCGTCCAGCCCTCGGATGCCGGCGTCTACATCTGCACCTGTCGCAGCCTCCACCACGTCAATACCAGCCGGGCAGAGCTGCTGGTCACTGGTGAGTCCCCGCTGGCCCTGTCCGCAAGACTGCCTGTCCCAGGCTGGGCTGCAGCCTGCAGACCCAGGCAGACGGTGCCTTCGCCTGCTGGGAGGGGGTAGCGGTTGTCTGGACAAGGGCAGAGGCCATGGAGGTGGGGAGAGGCAGAATCAACAGGACTTGATTGTGGTCCGTGAGGGAGAAGGACAAGGACGGTGCCCAGGGAGCTGGATTCTGGCGACTGGGTAAACGGGGTGCTATTGACTGAGATGAAGGAGGCTCCAGTGGGAGGGTGTCTTCATTCAAGCTTCCTCGAAGGCAGAGCCTGAAACAAGGATGTGCGTGCAAGCAGCCGAGGGAGGGAGGGAGAGACGGGAAGGGAAGGCATCCAACAAAGGCATGTCATCAAGCACATTTCCACCATGAGCAGTTGTTGTTTAATGCGGCGAGAAAGCCCTGAGAGCCAGTGTAAGACGCGCACCCTGGAGCCCCTGCCCTGGGTTAGGGTTAGGGTTAGGGTTAGGGGGCTGGGTATGTATACCCCAGCTCGTGCTGCAAAGAGGTCAGAGAGAATTGCAAGTTCGGTTTGGACTTGCTGAAGTCGGGGCTGTCTGGGAAGATATCTAAGTGGGCCCATCAGGCAGGCGTGTAGACATGTGAGCCCGAACTCAGGAAGGAGGCCATAGCCAGAGAAATCAATTTGGAAGCTATTGGCACAGGAATGGTATTTAAAGCCATGGGGCAGGATGAAGTCACCCAGGCAGAATATGGCTGGAGGACAGGGCCCAGCACAGAGCCCCAGGGAGCTCCAGAGTGACCACGTCAAGTTGGAGAGGAAGAGCAGCGGGGAGGAGGCTGCACCCGGGGAGTCGGGAGGGAAAGGCTTCCAGCCTCGCAGGGGAGGGCAGAGGAGGCGGAGGAGGTCATGCTTGGACATGAGTGTTTTTCAGTGGAGAGAAGGGGTAGAAACCAGATTGGAGTGGGGCAGGGAATGGAAGGGAAGGGAGGGCAGCCAGTGTAGACAACCGTTGCAAGAGTCTTGGCTCTGAGGGGAGGCCAGGCAAGGGGGCGGTGGCTGGGAGAGCATGGGGTCCGGGGGAATTTCAGAAGTGGGAGATTCTAGAACACATTTGTCTGTGGAGCGAAACGAACCCATGGAGGGGCAAGGGAAGAAGTCCTGGGGAGGGGTCCAGCACTCAGAAGGTGCAGGGGTGGGACTGAGGGGGCAGGAGGGTCCCATCCTTCAGGGACCAGGAAGGAGGGAGGCGGGAAGACGGGAAAACTCCTGACTCTCGCCAAGAGTGAGTTGAAGCCACCAGCTGTGGCAGTGGCTGGGAGGCTGGAGGAGACGGGAGGAGGTGTGAAATAGTTATTTGGGAGGATAGAAACTCAAACCAGACGGGGAGACCCACTTGGAGCTAAGTGAAGTGTGAAGTGTTAGGAGCTCGTTTGTGGTCTGTGATCGTGAACTGGAGCCAAGTGCATTTGTACGTGATGTTCCCGAACCACATCCCGCTGGCCGCGGGTGCCAGCAGGGAGAACGGGCAGGGCGGGGTCCAGCCAGCATGGGGAGGCAGGCGCCAGGGGTGGATGGGCAGCGAAGCTGGACCAGGAAGGCAGTGACGCCCAGAAGGGGTGATGGGGAAAGAGAAAGTGGCCGCGGGACAGGGCCCCAGCCAGCGCCAGCTCACTGGGGGGCTTCCCGCCCCACAGAGGCTCCAAGCAAGCCCATCACAGTGACGGTGGAGGAGCAGCGGAGCCAGAGCGTGCGCCCTGGGGCCGACGTCACCTTCATCTGCACAGCCAAGAGCAAGGTGCACAGGGCAGAGAGTAGGGATGGGGAGGGTCTGTCTTCTGGGGTCTGAGCCCACCCATGACCCTCACCCCTTCCCCTTGCCCTGCAGTCTCCGGCCTACACCCTGGTGTGGACCCGCCTGCACAACGGGAAACTGCCCACTCGAGCCATGGATTTCAACGGCATCCTGACCATCCGCAACGTGCAGCCGAGTGACGCGGGCACCTACGTGTGCACCGGCTCCAACATGTTCGCCATGGACCAGGGCACGGCCACACTGCACGTGCAGGGTACACCTCCCATCTACACCTGACCCTCCCACCCCCAGCTTGCTCCCCCATGCCCACCAGGACTAGTGCACCCTTTCTTCACGCAGCTGATCATTTCTGAGCACCTACTGTGTGCCTGGTCCTGGGCAGGCTCTGAAGAGGCAGAGGAGAGAAGGACATAAAGGATCTTGGCCCTCCTGAAGTATATGTTCTAGCTGGGGAGACCATAGCCATGGGAACAAATGAACAAACCAAGATAATTACACATGGGCTGGGTGCGGTGGCTCATGCCTGTAATCCTAGCACTCTCGGAGGCCGAGGCGGGAGGATTGCTTGGGCCCAGGAGTTGTAGGTTGCTGTGAACTAGGCTGAAGCCACGGCACTCTAGCCCGGGCAACAGAGCGAGACTCCGTCTCAAAAAAAGAAAAAAAAGAAGATAATCACACCTGTGATGAGTGCCAGGCTAGGGATAAACAGGATGATGAGAAAGCAGGAAACGAGGTGGGGGGAGGGGCCGCACTAGATGGGTGGTCAGGGAGGGCCTCTCTGAGGAGGTGACATCTCAGCTGGGACTGAAGGAAAGATACCTGTTGTGCCCTTAGGGAACTAGAAGAGAGTGCTGGGGGGGGGAGCAGCACGTGCAAAAGCCCTGAGGCAGGAACGTTTTGCCCTGTTTGAGGAGCAATGGCACCAACGTGGCTAGGGCTGGTGAGGAAGGAGGGCTGGTGAGGAACTTGAAGACGCGGGCAGAAGCGAGAGCACGCGGTATGAGTGGATGAGAACAGGGAGTCTGGGTTTTATGCTAAAAGCAACAGGAAGCCATGGACAGGTCTTAAGCAGGGAAGGAGCAAGACCCCATTGATGTTTTCGAAGCTCCCTCTGGCTGCCGTGTGCACAGACAGCCATGGGGGGCTAACCTGGAAGCGGAAAGCCGGCAAGGAGGCCATTGGCATGAGTCAGACAACACTCCCCACCCTGACGCATGTTCTTCCTCCTCCTCGTCAGCCTCAGGCAGCTCGTCTGCCCCTGTGGTCTCCATCCACCCGCCGCAGCTCACAGTGCAGCCCGGGCAGCTGGCCGAGTTCCGCTGCAGCGCCACCGGGAACCCCACGCCCACGCTCGAGTGGACAGGTGAGGCCGTGGCAGGAGTGACATTCAGGGCCTGGCTGTCCTGGTGTGGGAGGGCAGGGGCAGGACTCTAGGCTGCGGAGTTATAGGCACCAGGGCGACGCCCATGCTGGTGGGTACTGACACCGCGTCTCCTTGTCAGGCGGCCCTGGCGGCCAGCTCCCTCAGAAGGCACAAATCCACGGCGGCATCCTGCGCCTGCCAGCCGCCGAGCCCTCGGACCAGGGCCAGTACCTGTGCCGCGCCCACAGCAGCGCCGGGCAGCAGGTGGCCAGGGCTGTGCTCCACGTGCACGGTGAGAGGGCTGGGCTGAGGGTGGGGGCCGGGAGCCTGGCGGCTGCGCAGAGCAGTGTTCTCAATGGGCTCTGTCGCAGGGGGCAGCGGGCCCAGGGTCCAGGTGAGCCCAGAGAAGACCGAGGTGCAGGAGGGCAGCACGGTCAGGCTGTACTGCAGGGCCGCAGGCGTGCCCAGCGCCACCATCACCTGGAGGAAGGAAGGCGGCAGCCTGCCCCCGCAGGTGAGCGGACCTGGCCCACCCAGGCCACAGCGCTGGCTGCCCTCCCCCCGCACCCCGTACTCCCTGCCCCAGCGCCGCCTGTCCTCTCTGCCGCCTTCACGTCCACGATGGCGGCCTGCTCAGCCACACAGCCCTGCAGGCAGCCTCTGGCGTCCTCTTTGCTGCCTGGTTTTGCCCCCCTGGGTGCTGATACCGGCTCTGTGCCTGCCTCTCCCTCTTATGCCCCGTCCGCCCCCTCGCCGGTGGCCCTGCCAGGCTGCCTCTTGGGTGGCTGACCCTTCCTGCCCCATGGCAGGCGCGGTCCGAGCGCACGGACATCGCCACGCTGCTCATCCCAGCCATCACCACCGCCGACGCCGGCTTCTACCTCTGCGTGGCCACCAGCCCCGCGGGCACCGCCCAGGCCCGGATCCAAGTGGTCGTCCACGCAGGTGCGGGCCCTCTGGGAGCTGAGGGAGTGGGGGGCCTGCCAGGGCTCCCCCCGAGACCTGCTCACACTGCTCTCCCCCAGCCTCAGGCGCCAGCACACCGCCAGTCAGGATTGAGTCCTCGTCGCCTTCCGTGACTGAAGGGCAGACGCTCGACCTCAACTGTGTGGTGGCAGGGTCGGCCCACACCCAGGTCACCTGGTACAGGCGAGGGGGCAGGCTGCCCGCCCACGCCCAGGTAGGAGGGTCCCTGAGCTTGCAGCAGGGCGCCTGGGGAGCGGGGCTCTGGCTGGGGTGGGCCCACGCCCGGGGAGGCCGCACCCTGCCCCGCACTCCCCAGCTCCCAGCAGAGCCCCCAAGGTTTGCTGAATGAATCTCTGAGGCTCAGAGGGAGTGGTGACTACAGACCCGTCCCTGTTCTCATATACCTCTGCTGCCCTGGCCCAGGTCCACGGCTCCCGGCTGCGGCTCCCCCAGGTTTCACCGGCCGACTCTGGAGAGTACGTGTGCCGGGTGGAGAACGGGTCAGGCCCCAAGGAGGCCTCCATCGTCGTCTCTGTCCTCCGCGGCACCCATTCGGGCCCCAGCCACACCCCAGGTGAGGAGCCAGGTGGGGCTGGGCAGGGGCTGTGCCCAGGATGTCCCCTCTCCTCCCAGGGAAGGTGCGTTCCAGGCAGGCTTTGACCCTCCCTGCTGGCTCAGGGAGATAAAGGGACTGAAGCTGGGACACGGCTGGTGGGACTTACCTGGCGCCGGTGTGAGGGTAGTGTTTCCACATTCATCAGGAAGCAGCAGCAAGTCCAGGCCGAACACGGAGCTGGGAGTCCGGCTGATCTGGGTTCAAACCCTCACTCTGCCCTTTATCAGCCTTGAACCTCTTGTTACCTTCGGGAGCCTCAGATTCCCCATCTGTGAAATGGGACAGTGCCAGCCACCTGCTTGGTGATGGTGTGGTTTAAATGAGATGGTGTCAGTGGAAACCACTTGTAAACACGTGGCGGACACTGCAGAAGGGAGTTGTCTCACTGCTGTCTGCATCCTTGGGCCCAGCCTGGGCGGTAAAGGTCTCTAGTTCCCTGCAGGCCACAGGGGCTCGTCATCGAGAAGTCGTGGGTGGGCAAATGGGTCTCCAGCTCCCAGTTAGAGGTGGGGGACAGAAGAAGGCACATTCCAGTGGCCACATTGAGGCAAAAGAGTGTGGTTCCAAACCCAGAAAGGCCACCTATCAGCCCTCCCAAGCTAGGGCCTGGTCGCATCCCAGGCTGTCTGCCCCAGGGCTGCAGGCTGGACTCAAGAGCCCAGGCTCTGAGCACCCCCCTGTGCCCCAGCTCCCGGCAGCACCCAGCCCATCCGCATCGAGCCCTCCTCCTCACACGTGGCTGAAGGGCAGACCCTGGATCTGAACTGCGTGGTGCCCGGGCAGGCCCATGCCCAAGTCACATGGCACAGACGCGGGGGGAGCCTCCCCGCCCGGCACCAGGTACGGCCGCCCCAGGGCCAGCATGCTGGGGGGGAGGGGGTTGGATGGGGCTGCTCTGAGCACCTCCCAACCCACCCCGTCTGCGCGCAGACCCACGGCTCGCTGCTGAGGCTGCACCAGGTGTCGCCTGCCGACTCTGGCGAGTACGTGTGCCGTGTGGTCATTGGCTCTGAGCACCTGGAGACTTCTGTCCTAGTCACCATCGAGCCTGCTGGCTCCATCCCTGGTGAGTGACTCCCAGTGACATGGCAAGCTGAGGGGGCAGCAAGCCCTCCAGGGCGGTGAGGTCCAAGGGACTCCTGTTGCTGGTGCTGGGCAGGAGGCCCAGGCGGGAGTTGGCCATGGGGCCCTGTCCATGCAGATGCTACCTGTCTGAGTCAACACCATCATCCCATCTCTTTGGCCACATCAGTCTTCCGCTGTCTGTTCCTGCCTCCTCTTCCTCTTTCCCAGCCCCTACTACCTTTGTCACCCTCGCTTCCTTACTCCCCTCCACAAGGCTCAGCCCATTGCTGAGCTGAGGACATCAAGCCTCAGGCCACCAAGCCCCCAAGAGCATGGGCCTGGCCTCGGAACCCAAGGCTGCGCTGGCTCCAGGGTGGACGGCTCCTGCTTTCTGTTCTGGGGAGCACATACTACCCTCACTCCTGTCCCCACAGCCCCGGGACCCATCCCAGCTGTCAGGATCGAGTCTACATCCTCCACAGTGGCCGAGGGGCAGACCCTGGATCTGAGCTGTGTGGTGGCAGGGCAGGCCCATGCCCAGGTCACGTGGTACAAGCGCGGGGGCAGCCTCCCCGCCAGACACCAGGTACACAGCGCTAGGAACGTGGGAAGGGGCCGTGGCCAGGGGCTGTGGGGGCTGGGGGACTGGCAGTTCCCAGCTCAGGGGGGCAGTGCAGGGGGCACCTGCTGGGCTCCAGGAAGCCCCTCTCTCACGCCCCTGCCCACTGCTGCCCAGGTGCGCGGCTCCCGCCTGTACATCTTCCAGGCCTCGCCCGCCGATGCGGGGGAGTACGTCTGCCGGGCCAGCAACGGCGTGGAGGCCTCCATCAGGGTCACAGTAACCAGGACTCAGGGAGCCAACTTCGCCTACCGTGAGTGGGGCTGCCAGGCTGGGCTGGGACGCAGAAAGAGGACAGGCTGGGGCCACCTCAGAGAACTGGGGTGACCAGGCACTGTCATATCCGCCAGCCCCTGGCAGCACCCAGCCCGTCCGCATCGAGCCCTCGTCCTCACACGTGGCTGAAGGACAGACCCTAGATCTGAACTGCGTGGTGCCCGGGCAGGCCCATGCCCAGGTCTCGTGGCACAAGCGTGGGGGCAGCCTCCCCGCCCGGCACCAGGTACAGAACTGGGGGACAGACCGGCCCATGGAGGAGGGGGTGGCTCCTAGGTAGTGGAGGCTCCTCTGAGACAGAGGTGGCCTTGGACCCCACTGCACAGGCGTGTAGCGCAGTGGTCAGAACCCAGCATGTAGGACCAGCCAGCCCAGCTATGAATCCTGGTTCCAACACTTACTAGCTGGTGACCTTGGGCAAGTTACTTAACCTCTCTGTGCTATAGTTTCAGCATCTCTAAAATGGTAACAATAGTACCTACCTTATAGAATTGTTTTAAAGACAATATATTAATCAATATACATGCAAAATACTCAGAGGTTAGGCTCATAGAAAGTGCTCTAAGCTGTCAATATTACCAAAATACCATTAGCTATTGTTATTACTGTATTTTATAGAATTTAAGATACCACTGATTGCAAGATGCACCATTATTTTATGTACCTCTGAGGATGAAAAAAGCTATTTATAATTGCAAGATTATTCATCCTAGGTGCATTGTGGTTTCAGAGACACTGAGATGTGTGTCTGGAATTGATGGAATGTGGAAGGAGTATGTGCCCAATTCACCAGGGCCCCCCCGGCTCACCACCCCACTTCTGGGACGAGAGTGCCCCTTCCCCACCACTGACCCAGAGCTGATGGGCAGGCCTCGGGGGTCAGAGTGAGGCAGGGCCGCAGGTGCCGGGGTCCTACAGGGGCTCCCTCTGACTCACCCCCGACTCTGGACAGACCCATGGCTCCCTGCTGAGACTGCACCAGGTGTCCCCTGCTGACTCCGGCGAGTATGTGTGCCGAGTGGTGGGCGGCTCTGCGCCCCTGGAGGCTTCTGTCCTGGTCAGCATCGAGCCTGCAGGCTCTGTGCCTGGTGAGTAGCTCTGGGGCAGGGTCGGGCTGGGCCCAGCCCAGGGCAGGGGGTGGGGCCTCCCCACGGCAGCAATGGCAGGGTCAGGGGCCCCGCCTCTGACTGCTCCTGCCATGAGACCAGTAGCCCCGTCTCTTCCCATCTCGTAGCCAGGGATTGACCCTCTGCCCTCTGTCCCCAGCACTTGGGGTCACCCCCCCAGTCCGGATCGAGTCATCTTCCTCACACGTGGCCGAAGGGCAGACCCTGGATCTGAACTGCCTCGTTTCCGGGCAGGCCCACGCCCAGGTCACGTGGCACAAGCGCGGGGGCAGCCTCCCTGCCCGGCACCAGGTAGGCGGTGGGGGCTGAGGAAGGCCCGGAGGACCGTGTGACTGTGGCGTACAGAGCTGAGGCTTTGGATTCGGGCACATTTCAGTCCAGACACTGCTCTGCCACCTGCCTGCTGTGAGACCTTAGGCCAGTCACCCAATTCCCCGACCCTCGGTGTCCTCATCCATCAAGTGGGCCCACGCTGCCCCCCTCACCTACCCGCACCACGTCAGCGAACACTGGTGCCCCACTTTTCCCCGGTGCCAAGTCTCAGTGGTCCCTGGCATGGGCGAGGTGGCAGGCTAGACCCGGTCCCGACGCGGGGCAGGGGAAATGAAGGGAGAAGATGGTTCTCCCTGGAAGATCTTCCGTCACGCTCGAGCTGGCTGGGCCGGGTGGGGGACCAGGAAAGGGAACAGGAGCCTGGCCAGGAGTCCTAGTGCCAGCTCTGATCCTGCCCCTCCCAGGTGCACGGCTCAAGGCTGCGGCTACTCCAGGTGACCCCAGCCGACTCTGGGGAGTATGTGTGCCGTGTGGTCAGCAGCTCCGGCACCCAGGAAACGTCAGTCCTTGTCACCATTCAGCAGCGCCTGGGCACCTCCCACTGTGAGTGTCTTGGGGTCCTGCAAGTGGAGGAAGGCTGCTGGGGGCCCACTCCACCCTAGCAGCTCCCACACCTGCCTTCCGTCTCTCCCCCCAGCCCAGAGCGTGGTGTACCCCGTCCGTATCGAGTCCTCCTCAGCTTCCCTGGCCAACGGCCATACCTTGGACCTCAACTGCGTGGTCGCCAGCCAGGCCCCCCACACCATCACCTGGTACAAGCGTGGAGGCAGCTTGCCCAGCCGGCACCAGGTACGCAGCCGTAGGCAGGAAGGGCAAAAGCAGGGTACACCGGCCCTCATGGGAAGTGGGGGTGGCTCTCAGCACTGTGTTCTGGGCTTATTCAGTCATTCGACAAACACTGAGTGCCTTGCTGGGTGGGCCCTGTGCTGGTGCTGAGGATACGGAGCTAGGTCCTACGGACCTCGGTTGGATCCACTGACGCTGAGTTTCCCTGAGAAGCTGCCCCAGGCCAAGTCCTGTGCCTGACACTACAGATCCCGGATGGAATAAGACAGTCGTCTGCCCTCGGGCAGCTCGCAGGCCGCAGGAGCCCCAGCGGGGTGCCGTGTCCACACTGGGGAGGGCCTTGCAGGCTTTCTGGAGAGGTGACAAAAGACCAGAGGCACCGTCCACGCCTGCCCAGAGACAGGCAACACGCCTTGCCAGGAGCCACAGGAAGGCCACGGGCCCAGAGTCCGGGGGTGGCAGCAGCGCCATGACGTGGCGGTGCCGCCCCCACCCACCGACACCTGCTCCCTCCAGATCGTGGGCTCCCGGCTGCGGATCCCTAAAGTGACTCCCGCGGACTCAGGCGAGTACGTGTGTCACGTCAGTAATGGTGCCGGTTCCCAGGAGACCTCTCTCATCGTCACCATCCAGGGCAGCGGCCCCTCCCATGGTGAGAGCGCAGAGGGCAGGGGTCCAGGCAAGCGGCTGCAGGGGGAGGCAGAGAGGTCCTCGGAGCTGTCACTGATGTCTGACTCTGGCTGTGTGGGCCGTCCGCCTATCCCCAGTGCCCAGCATCACCCGACCAATCAGGATCGAGTCCTCGTCCCCCACGGTGGTGGAAGGACAGACCTTGGATCTGAACTGCGTGGTGGCCGGACAGCCACAGGCCATCATCACGTGGTACAAGCGTGGGGGCAGCCTTCCCTCCCGACACCAGGTACGGCGTGCAGCTGTGGCTGTAGGGCTGGGACCCTGGTCTCCTGGGATGGGGAGTGTGGGGACAGTCCCATGGGCTCCTTCTCTCACGCCCTGGAAGCCCCTGCAGACTGGGTAGACAGAAGGCAGCCTTGGCAGGTCTGACAGGGGAGGCCTGGGCCAGCTGGTGACCCCGGGGCCCCCCGACTCCTTCTCCCCTCCATCCCTGCCCACCCGCCCAGGCCCATGGCTCCCGCCTGCGGTTGCACCAAATGTCTGTGGCTGACTCGGGCGAGTACGTGTGCCGGGCCAACAACAACATCGACGCCCTGGAGGCCTCCATCGTGGTCTCCGTGTCCCCCAGCGCCAGCAGCCCCTCTGGTGAGTGTGGCGAAGGAGACAGGTGACAGAGCCCCGGAAAGAAGGAGCTCTGAGTGTCCTCAGACCGGGCGGTGGTCGGGGCAAGGGCCGTGTGGGAAGACGCCAGGTTCCTATCCTGCCTGTACCACTGAGGGCCTTGGAGAGTTACTTCCCCTTCCCAGCCTCAGTTTCCTCACCAGTGACATTGCGATCTCGACCATTCTGGCCTCACAGGGCTGCGCTCCCCGTGCAGTGGCCACGAGGCACCTGTGGCCATGGAAATTAAATAAATGTTAAAATTCTGTTTCTGACATTTCCAGTGTCCGGTAGCCACGTGCGGCTAGTGGCCACTGTCTTGGCCAGTGCAGATAAAAGAACATTTCTGTCACCACAGGAAGTTTATGAGTTTTGTGAGGATTAAGTGAGTTAAAACATATAAAGTGCGTAGAACAATGCCCGGCATACTGTAAGCCCTTAATAAGTGTTAACTCTTGTTGTTCCCCTGGGGGATGGGTTCCTACGGCTGAATGTCCCTCCAAGCCCAGCCCCCAGTCCTGACTGTGGCTAAGCCCTGACTGGCTGCTTCTGTGCCCCAGTCTCTGGCGGTGCCATGCCCATCAGAATCGAGTCATCGTCGTCACAGGTGGCCGAAGGGCAGACCCTGGATCTGAACTGCGTGGTGCCCGGGCAGGCCCACGCCCAGGTCACGTGGCACAAGCGTGGGGGCAGCCTCCCCAGTCACCATCAGGTATGTGGGGGGCAGGAAATGGGGGGAGCGACCACTGGATGTGGTGGCCCTCGCTAGCTCTGCCCAGGAACGAGGCCTGGGAGCCCTTGTGGGGTGTGGGTCAGAGGCCTTCCAAGACTCCAGAGTGGCACCTCACTCCGCTCCTCTGTCCTGTCCCCATCTAGGCCCACGGCTCACGGCTGCGGCTGCACCAGGTGTCCCCAGCCGACTCGGGCGAGTATGTGTGCCGTGTGGTGGGCAGCTCCGGCCCCCTAGAGGCCTCGGTCCTGGTCACCATTGAGGCGTCTGGCTCAAGCTCTGTCCACGTCCCTGGTGAGGGTCCCTGCAGTGGGTCTGGGAGGCCGGCGGAGAGAAGAAGGGAGGGAGACCAGAGACAAAGTGGGTGGAAGGAAACACTTTTTGGCACGTGGAGACAACTGCCCCTCTGACTCCAGGTCACGTGGGGTGGTTCCCGCCCCTCTCGAGGGCCTGGGAGCACAGGGTTTGGAGTCTGGCTTCTGCAGCCTGAGCGCCAGCTCCTCTGTCCACGCTCGGAGATGTCGCACAGGGACTTCACCTCTGTTTGTCACTGTCCCCATCTGTGCAGGGGGTAGTAGAGCCCTCGTCCCCAACTATCTCATTACAGAGACAATTCACGGAGCTCTCTAAAGCCTGGAACTGTACCTCTGGGGGTCCTGGAGGGTGGTTTTAGGTTGTACCCCAATAAACATCTTTACCAGTAGTGGTGGTAGATTAGGGAAAGACATAACACATCAGACCTGTCTTTAGTTCACAGAAATCATTACCTATAATGGGGCTAAGGATTTAAGGTTTTTTAAAGTGAATCCACGGAAAGGAAGTCGCGCAGTAATCAGTAGCACAGGGCACGCTCTATGGCAGAAATCACGACAGCAGCGCTCAGGTCGCTGAGTGATGGGCAAGATTGAGCACTTCCTCGGTGCCAGGCCTGTTATAATTACACATATCCATTCATTGCATCCTCCCCACGCCCTTTAAGGTAGGTGTGATTGTTCTCTCCATTTTACAAATGGGGAAACTGAGGCACAGGTAAAGTAACTTCCCGAAAGTCACATGGCTAGGAAGTGGCAGAGCTGGGATTTGAACCCAGGCAATCTGGCCCGAGTCTGGGTTTTTAGCCACACACTATCGAGTCTGGCAAACGTTAGTGAACTGTGTGGAGGTGTCTGCCCGCAGGGCCTGGCCCCAGTGGTGCTGGGAACGTGGGAACAGGAGATGGTGGGTCCGTTGCCTGGGAGTGGGGCCAGGGTAATGAAGCGCCTCCACCCCCCAGGCGAGCTGAGCCACTCCAAGCCTCTAGAATGGGGAAGGAGAGAAGCTTCTCCCCAGATGGCCTCTGGTCTGCACATCTGGGCACCCAGGGGAGGGGCTGGGGGCACAGCGATAGGAGTCCCAGCTCACCGACCTCCCCCATGCCCCAGCCGCAGGCGGAGCGCCACCCATCCGCATCGAGACCTCCTCCTCTCGAGTAGCCGAAGGGCAGACCCTGGATCTGAAGTGCGTGGTGCCCGGGCAGGCCCACGCCCAGGTCACGTGGCACAGGCGCGGAGGCAGCCTTCCCGCCCGGCATCAGGTAAGGGGCTGGAGAAAGCAGGATGCACCCCTCCTCCCCAGCCCCACAGTCCTGTCTGAACCCAGCCCTGAAGGGAAGTGGCCCCAGCAGCCAGGGTTTGGGGGGAATTGTGGCAGGAGGTTGCTGGAGTCAGGAAGCCGAGAGCAGGCTGGGCACAGCAGGGCCACCACCAGCCCCACAGCACCTTGGTGCTAAATAGAAAAGCTCATCTCTTAAGACATCTGACTTCCGCCTACCAGAGAAAATGTCATAATAAATATATTCTCCGCAATGTCTAATGTCAGAGGGGGTCGCCTTTGACTGTGGGTGACAGTCCTGGGGTACCAGAGGCTTTGGGCATCTGAAGGCCTTGGCCACCGGCCTCCCGACCCACCCTCGCATTCTCACCCCCACCTTGGCCAGGTTCACGGCCCCCTGCTGAGGCTGAACCAGGTGTCCCCTGCCGACTCTGGCGAGTACTTATGCCAAGTGACCGGAAGCTCGGGCACCCTGGAGGCGTCTGTCCTGGTCACAATTGAGGCCTCCAGCCCAAGTCCCATTCCTGGTGAGTGACAAGGAGCAGAGGGCGATGCTAGGGCCTAGGCGTGGGGGCCCCTCCTGGCCGCGCTCCAATCCGCTGTCCCAGCAGGGCCCCTGTTGTTGCCTGGGGATGGGGTTTTCTACAGGTGAGGATCGAGCCAACCTGGCTGTTCCCGAATCTGGCGATGGCCAAAGCCTGACTAGCTGCCACTGTGGCTCCAGTCTCTGGCCGTTCTTTGGTCCCTCCCTGCAACCAGCCCTGGGTCCCATGATGACATCTTAGTACCCTAGTCCCTGGGGAAAGGCGAACGCTCTTAGGGGAATGGAGCACAGCCTGTCACCCACCGTCAAGCCACTGTGGCTCCAGGAGGACCGGTCGGCCTCAGTGCCACCACCTTCAGTCCCTGCCTTCATCCCTGGGAGCCTGGCCCCTCTCACCCACCCGCTGTGCCTACAGCCCCAGGCCTGGCCCAGCCCATCCACATCGAGGCCTCCTCTTCACACGTGGCTGAAGGGCAGACGCTGGATCTGAACTGCGTGGTGCCCGGGCAGGCCCACGCCCAGGTCACGTGGCACAAGCGCGGGGGCAGCCTCCCTGCCCGGCACCAGGTACAGGGGCCGGCATGGGGCCGATTCCAGGGCAGGCAGGGAATCAAGCTGCACCCAAACCTCGTGCAAACTCCAGCCCACTTGGGGATCACAGGGGATAAAATACTTTGAGGGGAAGAGTTCACCAGCCTGGACGTCGAGAGACCTGGGCTTTGCTCCTGGCTCTGCTGCTGAGCCACTTCTTGAGCCTCAGTTTCCCCACTGTAGAGTGAGTGGGTGGGACTTCTAACTCGGCTTCTGTGAGTGGGGCTTCCTCCATGCCCACCAGCTGGAGCCCCGAGCACCCAAGACCCATGGAGAACTCTTGGGTACTGGCACAGCCAGGCTTGGGGACTTTCCCTGTCCTGGGGCTCCGGCCTGACGGCTGCCCCTCCCCACTCCGGCAGACTCACGGCTCCCAGCTGCGGCTCCACCACGTCTCCCCGGCAGACGCGGGAGAGTACGTGTGCCGCGTGGCCGGCGGCTCAGGCCCTCCGCAGGAGGCCTCCTTCACGGTCACCGTCCCACCCAGCGCAGGCTCTTCCTACCGTGAGCGTGGCGGATGCCCCGGCGAGGGAGGAGGGACGGCAGAGCTGAGGCAGGGCCCCCTGCTGAGCCCAGACCTCTGCCCTCTCGCCCCCAGGCCTCCGGAGCCCTGTCATCTCCATCGACCCGCCCAGCAGCACCGTGCAGCAGGGACAGGACGCCAGCTTCAAGTGCCTCATCCACGAGGGCGCAGCCCCCATCACCCTCGAGTGGAAGGCACGGAACCAGGAGCTGGAGGGTGAGCCAGGCGGGGGGGTGGCTGGAGGAGGCGTGGGGGACGGTCATCCCCACGGTGTGCCAGGGCGGGGCAGCAGGCAGGGATGCACCAAATTCACCGTGTGACCCAGGGGAAGGCCCTTCCCTCTCGGGGCCTCGGTGTCCACATCCATATGGTGAGGGGCCTGGACCCAGGAGTCCCCAAGGCCTGTTTTATCTTCTGCCGTCTGTGACTCCGTGAGCTGGGCACACCCAGGCCAGTGGGGCCAGGTGCTTGGGGCGCAGGGACACCAGCTGGCAGCACCAAGGCCAGAGAAGGACCAGGTTGACCTCACTCACCCTCCCCTCCCCGCAACCCCACAGACAACGTCCACATCAGCCCCAACGGCTCCATCATCACCATCGTGGGCGCCCGGCCCGGCAACCACGGCGCCTACCGCTGCGTGGCCTCCAATGCCTACGGCGTGGCCCAGAGTGTCGTGAACCTCAGTGTGCATGGTGAGGGGGCATCAACCCCGGGGCCCTGCGCTCCTGAGTCTCAGCTCGCATCCTCCAGGTTTAAATCCCGCCTCCACCACTGACTGCCTCTTGGGCATTCTGCCCCTCTGAGCCTCAGTTTCCGCCTCAGAGCAGTGGGACACTGGCAACCGCCCTGCAGTTACCGAGGTGGGGGTTGTGCCGGTGCACGTGGCCAGCGCTGCACGTGTGTCAGCACGTGTCATTCCTCCGGGCAGGCCCCCCTACGGTGTCTGTGCTCCCCGAGGGCCCCGTGCGGGTGAAAGCGGGAAAGGCCGTCACCCTGGAGTGTGTCAGCGCCGGGGAGCCCCGCTCCTCTGCCCGGTGGACCCGGATCGGCACCCCTGCCAAGCTGGAGCAGCGGACGTATGGGCACGTGGACAGCCACACGGTGCTGCAGGTGAGGCCAGGCCGTTTCACCTCTGGGTCTGAGGGCAGGCCAGGGCCCAGCCTCGAGCAGGGGTGCGGGGAGACAGTGGTGGCAGGGCAGCTGGGGGTGCGCGGATGGAACACAAGAGGGAAGAAGGAAGAAAGAATGGGCGAAGGATGGGCGGGATGATGGCCACGTGGACAGATGGACACGTGAGGTGCCCTGCGTTGAGCCCTCAGGCAGCCAGGTGGGAGAGCTGGAAGCCAAGGGAAGGGCACAGGAAGGGAGGGAAACCAAGCCAGAGTGGGGGCCAATGTCCGCATCCCCACTTGGTAACCAGGTAACCAACCCCCTCTTTCTGCCAGATTTCATCAGCAGAACCGTCAGACGCCGGCACCTACGTGTGCCTCGCTCAGAATGCGCTGGGCACAGCACAGAAGCGGGTGGAGGTGATCGTGGACACGGGCACCGTGGCCCCAGGGGCCCCCCAGGCCGAGGTGGAAGAAACCGAGCTCACCGTGGAGGCTGGACACACAGCCACCCTGCGCTGCTCAGCCACAGGTGTGGTCAGGGGCTGGCACCCAGGGCTGGCAGAGCAGGGGTGCCCCGGGGCCTGAAGTGTAGACACATGAGACCTGGACGTGATGTCGTGCCCAAGGATAGGGAGCAGGGCAGACTTTGCTGCTAGCATCTCCCAGTGATGGCTGAGGTGTCCACTTAGTGGGGCAGGATCACCCAGGCCCCTTCCCCATCACTGCCACCCTCAGCTGGCCCCTGGGGGGCAGCCCAGCTACCTCCGCCACCTTCCACTGTCCTCCACAGGCAGCCCCACGCCCACCATCCACTGGTCCAAGCTGCGCTCCCCACTGCCCTGGCAGCACCAGCTGGAAGGTGACACACTGGTCATCCCGAGGGTAGCCCAGCAGGACTCGGGGCAGTACATCTGCAATGCCACCAGCCCTACCGGGCACTCTGAGGCCACCGTCGTCCTGCACGTGGAGAGTAAGGCGCTCAGCCCCTCTTTGGGGGCTCCCCTCTGTGCACTGCATGGAGGTCTGAGCCCCCCCACCAGACTCTACTCTGGACAGAACCCACCCTGAGGCCGCATGCACCTCAGGGACCCAGAGCCTGCCCTTGCCCGACACCCACGCCCCTCCTGGCACCTTCGCTCTCTTCATCCCCCGTCCTCTGGGCTCACCATCCAGCTTCCCTGGTCCTTTGTCCAACTGCCTGCTGCCATGCTGACCTCTGCCCTTCCCCGCCCCCCGACCTCTGTGTCCTTCCCGTGCAGGCCCACCCTACGCCACCACAGTTCCAGAGCACGCTTCGGTGCAGGCAGGGGAGACGGTGCAGCTGCAGTGCCTGGCTCATGGGACACACCCGCTCACCTTCCAGTGGAGCCGCGTGGGTGGCAGCCTTCCCGGGAGGGCGACGGCCAGGAATGAGCTGCTGCACTTTGAGCACGTGGCCCCTGAGGACTCAGGCCGCTACCGCTGCCAGGTCACCAACAAGGTGGGCTTGGCTGAGGCCTTTGCCCAGCTGCTCGTCCAAGGTACGCAGCCCCTGCTCAGGGTGGGCAGGCCCTCGATGACCCAGCCGTGGGTACCGGGGGCCCCGCACTTGGCGTACGAAGGCCTCCCTCCATTACCCGACCCTGAGTGCCCTCCTCACCCACCTTCTCCAAGGCTTGCCGCAGGCTTGCCGCCTCCAGGAAGACCCTCGATTGCCGTGTTCTCAGCTCTTCCGGCCCTCGTGGCTGCTTCCTCCCTCGGCACTGACCTTGCACTGCCAGAGGAAGCGATTGTGTTTACATTAATGGCAGCCTGCCTCACCTGCCAGACGGCGAGGACACTCAGGACAGGGCCTTGACCCAGGCGTGTCAGCAGGCCTGGGCTAATCTGCCACAGGGCCTACGACAGGCTGGGTAAATGCTTGACAGGGACAACAGCGAGTGAGTGACAGGCAGCGCCCAGCCCAGCATGCCCGGAGCATCGGCATCTCCGTGGTCTCCTCCATCGATCATGCAAAGCCAGATGTAGCTCATTGGTCAAGAGCCTGGACTCTGGAGTCTGCTAGACCCGGGTTCAAAGCACAGCTTGGTCACTTGCTGGCTGTGCGACCTTGGCCACGTCATTTAACCTTTTTGAGCCTCTGTTTCTTCATCTGTAAATGGAGAGAACCCTGCCGACCACATAGGCTGAGTTAGGTGCGTGGGTGTCCGTCCCGGGGCTCACAACAGGCCCTGAGCAAGCAGGAACGATGCGCGTCCGCAGCCACCCTGCCACCCGCCCTGCACCTGCAGGCGTCCTCGCCGCAGCCGGGCTCCTGGATTCCTTATCTTAGACTGCAGCCAGAACAGCCTTTGCTGTCCTTCCTTAAAATGTCTGAGCCCCTCCCGCTCCGGTCGTGGACTGCCCTCCGCACCCGAAAGCCACAAGCTGAGGAACCAGAGCCCCCCACTCCACAGGCCTCCTTGCATGTTGGCTGAGTGACTGCACGAGTGAGCGGATGAATGTGCCACTGAGAGGTCTTTTCCCTGGCTAGAGAGGCTACCAGGAGAAGAACGTCACTTGAATGTTGAGATGGGGGTTTCCTGGGACTCTGGGGAGGGCAGCAGGGACATCACCCACACATGTACCTGCAGAACCTCGTACATGTCTCCGCAGGCCCCTCCGGCTCTCTCCCTTCCACTGCCGTCCCGGCAGGATCCACACCCACCGTGCAGGTCACACCTCAGCTGGAGACCAAGAGCATCGGGGCCAGTGTTGAGTTCCACTGTGCCGTGCCCAGCGACCGGGGCACCCAGCTCCGCTGGTTCAAGGAAGGGGGTCAGCTGCCTCCTGGCCACAGTGTGCAGGATGGGGTGCTTCGGTGAGTGGAACAGGGGCGGGACTGGACTTGGGCACCCCGGCCTGAGGCTCCCGGTAGGGCTGAGTTAGAATACCTGCCCCAGGGGCCCGGCATGAAGCAGTGTCCTTGGACAAGTCACTCTACCTCTCTGAGCCTCCGTTTTCTCAGCTGTACAATGGGTTATATAAGACTGAAAGGAAATCTAAAGCACTTGCACAGTGCTTGGTAAAACAGTGGCCCATATTTGCGTTATTGTTGGAGGAAAGAGAACAGGCTCTGGGGCCAGGTATCTACAAATGACCCCAGAGCTCAGCTCTGCTACTTGGTAATGGTGCAGTCTTGAGCTCTAGTCCATAGGTCTTTGTCTGAAGTGGGTGTGGTACCCCCACCCTGCCCACCTGCCTCATGTGATTGTTGGGAGACTAGAAGTTGACACTGTGCGCCGATCTATGTCGGCTTTTAACTCCCACCCAGTTGCAAAGCATTCTCATCAATTGTTTTTACTCCCTGTCTTCTTTATAGAATCCAGAACTTGGACCAGAGCTGCCAGGGGACATATGTTTGCCAGGCCCATGGACCTTGGGGGCAGGCCCAGGCCAGCGCCCAGCTGGTTGTCCAAGGTAGGAGGGTGGCTTCAGGCCTCTGCCAAGAGCAGGGGACAGAGATGAGAAGGGGAGAGGGACACTGGGCTCAGACCATGTTCCCCAGGAAGCCCCCTAGATGTGTAAGAATAAAGAGCATTATTCTATTTTATCTGGTTTATGTCTAGCACAGAGTAAGGATGCTCGTAGAATACTGCAAGGGAGGGAAAAAGTGAGACTGTCTCAAAAAAAAAAACCGATTTAGAGAAGAATGAATGAGCGGACACATGAGTGAGTGAATGCACAGGCAAAAGAGCAAGTGTGTTCGTGGGTGAACGGATGAAAAAGTGAATGATGAATGAATGAATGCGTAGGGCTCCCGTGTGCGCCTTTCCTGGGGAGTCTCATCTCACTGGGCCTCTGCCTCCCTCCTCCCCAGCCCTGCCCTCGGTGCTCATCAACATCCGCACCTCTGTGCAGACCGTGGTGGTCGGCCACGCCGTGGAGTTCGAGTGCCTGGCACTGGGTGACCCCAAGCCTCAGGTGACGTGGAGCAAAGTCGGAGGGCGCCTGCGGCCAGGCATCGTGCAGAGCGGAGGCGTTGTCAGGATCGCCCACGTGGAGCTGGCCGACGCGGGACAGTACCGCTGCACCGCCACCAATGCCGCCGGCACCACCCAATCCCACGTGCTGCTGCTCGTGCAAGGTGAAGGCTGGCGGGGGCCTTTGCTGGGGCCCGGCGAGTGGGGCAGGGGCTTCTCGTGTGGCCGTCCCCTGCCTGCCTGCTTTCCTCTTCCTTTCCACTCTCTTGGGGGATTTTCTGTTGTGTGTTTTTAAGGGGCGGGTTTCATTACAAGTGGTGGCAGTAGGAGATGAAAATGAGTGTCCCCCAGGGCAGACTGGAACTTAAGGGAAGGAGCTATGCCATGGGGCATCAAGAGGGAAAAAGAAATGTAGTCCTCACCTACGGGGAGTGCCTGCTCTGGCGGGGGAGACCTGTAGCCCAGCCTGGTGGCAGAGACGAAACATACACGCAAAGCAGACGTAATAGAGAGAGACGGGGACAGCAGATGCAGGGCAGGCACAAGTACTGTTTTCTTTAAGGCGGTTCCTATTTACCCCAAGCCTATGACTTGCTCCCAAACCTACTCGCACATTCTGCCCTTGTACCCCATTCTCAGTCTCCAAAGGCTGCACAGTTTTCTGCCTGGTGTGTTGAAGAGGTCTCAGGGCTGCAGAGTCAAATAGACCCGGCCCTGAACCCTGCCTCTGCCCAGTTCCATCTGTGCCACCAGGAACGAGCAGCCACTTCTCCCCTCTAAGCCACAATGTCTTCATCTGTAACATGGGAGGTAGTATGTCCCTTCGAAGGGTAGTGTGAGGATTAAATGAGCACAGGCTGGGCACACGGATGGCAGCTGTCATGACGCTGATGGCCTGTGTCTCTTCCCCACCTCTCAGCCTTGCCCCAGATCTCCACGCCCCCGGAGGTCCGTGTGCCTGCTGGTTCTGCAGCCGTCTTCCCCTGCATGGCCTCGGGCTACCCGACGCCCGACATCAGCTGGAGCAAGGTAAGTGCTGGGCAGGGGGCCGGCCGGGACCAGGTCCAAACCATCTCAGCGTCCTCAGGCCCTGGCACAGGCTTGGCAAAGCGTCAATGCTCAGTGTTTGAAGGGGCCCGAGGCAGAGATGGGAGGCAGGCCCCGTGGAGGTGTGGGGCCAGGGTCAGGGCCACTGCGAGTCCTCAGTGCTGCTGTGTTCACAGCTGGACGGCAACCTGCCCCCCGACAGCCGCCTGGAGAACAACATGCTGATGCTGCCCTCGGTCCGGCCCCAGGACGCGGGCACCTACGTCTGCACCGCCACTAACCGCCAGGGCAAGGTCAAAGCCTTTGCCCATCTGCAGGTGCCAGGTAAGACCACGCCCCCAGGAACTGGCAGTTCCCTGCGCTCCCGGGCGGGCATCGTCCCCAACTGTGCTCTCTGCCGGCAGAGCGGGTGGTGCCCTACTTCACGCAGACGCCCCACTCCTTCCTGCCGTTGCCCACCATCAAGGACGCCTACAGGAAGTTTGAGATCAAGGTCACCTTCCGGCCCGACTCAGCCGATGGTGAGCAGGAGAGTCCGTTTGAGGGGAGCCTGCCTGGGGCGGGGGATCTCGCGGGGTAACCGCCATCCTGGCATGAGCCCTGGCTGTACCCCAGCCCCGCCCAGCTCCCTCAGCCCTCGCTGTCCAGGGGTCCCCAGGCCTCGGGGCCTCTGCCCTGGGCCCTGTCTCACGCCTCTGCTCCTGGTCCCGCCTCTGCCATATCTCGTCTCTGCCGCTGGTGCCGCCCGTCCCACCTTCCTCGCCCGCCTCTACGCCTTCCTCCCTCCTTTCCCTCCCCCCTCACCCTTCCTCCTCTCTCTCTCTCTCTCTCTCTCTCTCTCTCGTCTCTCTGGGTCTCTGACTTTCACTGTCCAGGCCTCCTCCTCTACTCGGGTGAGTCTCCGCCTGCCTCCCGCCTTGGGGTGACCCCCCAGAGCGTGCAAAGCACGTCCACAGTCCGGCCCTTCTGTTCAGGGCCCAGCCCGAGGTCGTGAGAAGGCCTGGCTGTGCCAGGCGTGCCAAGGGAGGGATGGCCGTCCGAGACTGGACAGGCTGAAGAGCGTGGCGCATTCCCAGGGTGGGGTGGACAGGGGGCCGGGGCTGGACAGGAGCCCCTCACACGGCTGTGCCCACCCAGGGATGCTGCTGTACAACGGGCAGAAGCGGATGCCAGGAAGCCCCACCAGCCTGGCCAACAGGCAGCCTGACTTCATCTCCTTCGGCCTCGTGGGCGGAAGACCTGAGTTCCGGTGAGACCCCGGCCTCCCCCTTACAGGGGGACTGGACACAGGCCACACCACCCTCGACCGAGTTATACAGAGGAGATCCTGGAGGAGGAGGAGCTGTGGGCGTTTCCCTTGGCGACCACGCTATCTGCTGGAGCAGGCACAGTGTGCTGGTCAGGGGGAGGGGCTGCTGCAGGCCAGGATTCTTTCATTCCTTCCTTCCTTCATTCATTCCTTCATTCAACAGCTATTTGCTGAGCACCTACTATGTGCCAGGCACTGATACAGGCATAAGCAAAACAGATCAAGTTCTAGCCCATGTGGGAAGGTATATTCTAGTTGGGGAAGACAAGCCACAAAAAAGGAAGGAGCAAGGTGATCTCAGACAGGTGTGCTCAGAGGAATATGCGGCCAGGTGCTAGGCCACAGGGCCCTGGATGGAGCTCGGAGTGATGGGAGCCCCATGGGTGCTCTGAAATAGCTCCCAGGGAAAGGATGTGGGCAGAGAAGACCCGGCCAGGGACGGGGCAAGTGGGGGGCGGGTCATGGGAGGAGGACAAGGCAGGCACAGGACCTGGGGCATCCCTGGGTGGGGATACAGGAAGTGGTGACATCCCTCCTCTGGTGCCCCTCTGCCCAGCTGGGCCCCACCCCTTCTTACAAACCCACATCTATTCTCTCCTGCCCGGGCCCACCCCATGGAGCAGGTTCGATGCAGGCTCTGGTATGGCCACCATCCGCCACCCCACACCACTGGCCCTGGGCCAGTTCCACACCGTGACCCTCCTGCGCAGCCTCACCCAGGGCTCCCTGATTGTGGGCAACCTGGCCCCAGTCAACGGGACCTCCCAGGTGAGACCCGACCCTATGCCTCATCCCCCACCCCGTCCTGCCCCTGCTCAGTCTCTGTCGCCATTCCTGACCTCCCCACTCCCCAGGGCAAGTTCCAGGGCCTGGACCTGAATGAGGAGCTCTACCTGGGCGGCTACCCTGACTACGGTGCCATCCCCAAGGCGGGGCTGAGCAGTGGCTTCATAGGTGCGCCCCACACCCCCCACCTCCAGCCGGGGCCCAGCCTCACCTTGCTGGTGGGCAGAGCTCTCGGGAGTCAGGGAGGGTACCCCAGGGTTGGGCTGGGTGGGCAGGCTCCCCACCACCCTGCCCCTCGCTCAACCCACCTGCCCACCCCAGGCTGCGTCCGGGAGCTGCGCATCCAGGGGGAGGAGATCGTCTTCCATGACCTCAACCTCACGGCGCACGGCATCTCCCACTGCCCCACCTGTCGGGACCGGCCCTGCCAGGTGATCTCACACCCACACACACCACCCAGCTGCCCTCAGCCCTGGCTGGCCCCTGGGGGAATGGGAGGCCTGAGTATTCTCGGCCTCACTTCTGGGGGCTGCTTTGCAGAATGGGGGCCAGTGCCACGACTCGGAGAGCAGCAGCTACGTGTGCGTCTGCCCAGCGGGCTTCGCCGGGAGCCGCTGTGAGCACTCGCAGGCCCTGCACTGCCACCCAGGTACTCCTCACTCCTCGCTGCCGCCCAGGCACGGTCTTGCAAGAACACACAGACACACACAGTCACTCGTTCACTCCCCCCGCCGTCCCCTGCCCAGCCTCAGACTCCACCCGCGCCCTGATCCATCCCCTCCTCTCAGCCTCCTGGGCTGGCCAGGCCCTAACCAGCCAAGGCCCCCCAGGTGTGATGGGCAGGGCCTTGGCGTCAGGGCCCCACCCCCTCCCGAGCCACCTTAGTGTCCTCCTCACTGACCTATGTGCCCCCCAGAGGCCTGTGGGCCTGACGCCACCTGCGTGAACCGGCCGGATGGTCGAGGCTACACCTGCCGCTGCCACCTGGGCCGCTCTGGGATAAAGTGTGAGGAAGGTGAGTGGAGCCAGGCCTGAGAGCCCCAGGGTCCCAGTGATGGCTGGGGAAGCCGGGCAGGGCACTCTGAGGCCACGAGGGGCCCTACGGATGGTGAGATTATTCCTGAGCCAGAGGACCTCAAAGTCACTCGGCCACACTTGTGCCCAGCCTGAATCCTTACACAGGGGGCCCCACAGAGGACCCCTGTCTTACTGGAGCTCCTCCCAGCCTGGTCTGCCAGGGCAGGGGCCCACCTGCGGCTGCAGCTGCTGCCCAGCTGGCCTGAGCCTCGGGCCTGGAGAGCGAGGTGGGCGGGGGTCCCCGAGGAAGGCTGAGTAGCGGGTGCCCACCTGGGACTCCAGTGTCCCCACTGCCCCGGCTGGGCTGTGGCTGCTGCAGGTGTGACGGTGACCACCCCTTCCCTGTCCGGCTCTGGCTCCTACCTGGCGCTGCCGCCGCTCACCAACACACACCACGAGCTACGCCTGGACGTGGAGTTCAAGCCGCTGGCGCCTGACGGCATCCTGCTGTTCAGCGGGGGGCGGAGCGGGCCCGTGGAGGACTTCGTGTCCCTGGCGATGGCTGACCGCCACCTGGAGTTCCGCTACGAGTTGGGGTCAGGTAAGCACCGGGCCTCCGGATGCCACGCTTTGTGCCCTCCTTGGCTCTCTGTGCCCCAGGGAGGATTGGAGGCATAAACCCGGGAGTCAGACCCCCTTTTCCGCACATTCCTCCCTCTGTGTGGGACTCAGGCAAGTCCCTAGACCTCTGGCAGCCCTGGGCTCCTCATCCGGAATAGCCGAAGGCCGCAGGGAGTCCCCGTGCGTGTGGTGGGCAGGGCAGGGAGCCCCACGTTCCCAACTCTGCCTGGCGTCCTCCCCAGGCCTGGCCGTTCTGCGGAGCACCGAGCCTCTGGCCCTGGGCCGCTGGCACCACGTGTCTGCCGAGCGCCTCAACAAGGACGGCAGCCTGCGGGTGAACGGGGGACGCCCTGTGCTGCGCTCCTCGCCCGGCAAGAGCCAGGGCCTCAACCTGCATACCCTCCTCTACCTGGGTGGCGTGGAGCCCTCTGTGCCACTGTCCCCGGCCACCAACGTGAGCGCTCACTTCCGTGGCTGCGTGGGCGAGGTGAGGAGCAGCCTGCAGAGGGCACGTGGACGGGAGGGGGGCAGATGGGGCCCTCCGCCTGCAGCTGGCCCGGAGCCCGGGGCCTGGGGCCCAGATGCTTCACCTCCAAGCCTCGGTTTCCTCCCCTGTAAAATGGGGATGAAAGCACCTACTTTGAAGGGTTGGACTGAGGGCTGACGGCACGGACGGACGTTCCTGGCACACGGCAGACACTCGTTTTCTGTGGTGCCTCCCTCGCCCCCTTCGAATCCCGTGCTGCCACTCAGGTGCTGGCGTGGGCTCCCAGCGTCCTCTGCTGCATACCTCTCTCTGCTGGTACACCTGGACCTCTGCCTCCCGTGCCCCTTTAGTCCCCCAGTGTCCCTGTGCCCACAGGTGTCGGTGAATGGCAAGCGGCTAGACCTCACCTACAGCTTCCTGGGCAGCCAGGGCGTCGGGCAGTGCTACGACAGCTCCCCCTGTGAGCGCCAGCCTTGCCAGCATGGTGCCACGTGCATGCCCGCTGGCGAGTACGAGTTCCAGTGCCTGTGTCGAGACGGCTTCAAAGGTGGGGGAGCTGCCCGGGGCACCAGCAGGGAGGGGCGTGAGTGGTCAGCAGCCCACGCCCACCCACCCACTCGCCCCCACCCTGGCCTGCAGGAGACCTCTGTGAGCACGAGGAGAGCCCCTGCCAGCTCCGTGAGCCCTGTCTGCACGGGGGCACCTGCCAGGGCACCCGCTGCCTCTGCCTCCCTGGGTTCTCTGGCCCACGCTGCCAGCAAGGTACTCCACTTCCCTCTTGGCACTCTGAGGCTGGACATGGTACCCACGGGGGTCTCTGCCCACCAACTGGACACCCCTTTTCTCATAGGCTCTGGACATGGCACAGCAGAGTCCGACTGGCACCTTGAAGGCAGCGGGGGCAACGGTGCGTACTTGTGGCCGGCCCGAGAAGCCTGCTCCTGGCTTCTGCCTCCAAGCCCCGCTTCCAGTTACCCCACCCCTCAATCCCGGCCTTTCAGCAAAACGGACCCATTTGAGGGGCTTGCTGGGCACAGGCAGGCAGAATAAAGAAGAGCACAGCCCCACACCTCTGGCTAGGCAACCGCAGACAGGCCTTCGAGTCACTCTGACCTCAGTTCCCTCCTCTGTAGTCACGCATTCAGTCAACAGACATCCACTGTGTGTCCATCCTTGCTCTGGGAGAAATACATATATGACAAATAAGGCAGGACCCTCATTCTCAAGGATTCCGCTGTTTAGAAGCAAAGATAGGCCAGGCACGGTGTCTCACACCTATAATCCCAACACTTTGGAAGGCCAAGGCGGGAGGCTTGCTTGAGCCCAGGAGTTCAAGACCAGCCTGGGCAACATAGCAAGACCCCATCTGTACAAAAATAAAAATAGAAAGATTAGCCAGGCATGGTGGTACACACTTATAGTCGCGGCTACTGGGAAGGCTGAGACAGGAGGATCGCTTGGGCCCAGGCATTCAAGGTTTCAGTGAGCTATGATCAGGCCACTGCACTCCAGCCTGGGCGACAGAGTAAGACACTATCTCTAAAAATAAATAAAAGCAAAGATAACAGTAAAGAGTGAGTGTTGATTAAACATTTACAGGCACTGTGCTAACTCCTTTATAGACACATCCTTTCTTATTATTACTAAAGTAATAGGAGACGCAGTGGTGTAGTGGTTAAGAGCGTGGGCTCTGGAGCCAGCCTGCCTGGGTTCAAATCTTAGCCCTGTGACTTTATGTGAGTCACTTAGCTTGTGTGTGCCTTAGTTTCCTCACTTACAACATGGAGATGAATAACTTCTTTCCACAGGGCTTTGGATAACACTTTGAATGAGAGTAAAATTGTTTAGTGTATTTTATTTTGTATTTTTTATTTTTTTGGAGATAGAGTCTTGCTCTGTCACCCCAGGTAGAGTGCTGTGGCATCTTCATAGCTCACTGCAACCTCAAATTCTGGGCTCAAGCGATCCTCCTGCCTCAGCCTCCCAAGTAGCTGGGACTACAGGTGCACACCACCATGCGTGATTAATTTTTCTGTTTTTAGTAGAGACAGGGTCTTCCTCTTGCTCAGGCTGCTCTGGAACTCCTGACCTCAAGCAATCCTTCTGCCTCGGCCTCCCAACGTGCTAGAATTACAGGCATGAGCCACCACACTCGGCCTGTTTAGTGTATTTTAAATGCCTAGAACAATGTCTGGTACAGAGTGGGTATAGGATGTTAGCTTTTGCTAATATCATATTAATTTGTAGGGTTGTATTAAGATTCAGTTAAATGAAATGATGTTTGTAGCTAGAGGTGAAGGTCCCTGCACAGGCACACAGTAGGTGCTTGGTAAATGTCAGCTGTTGTCCTCATTGTTGGGTGGTGGCAGACCCTGCCCTTTTAGCTGCCAGGCCTACGGTGGCCAGCGCTGGCCTGTGGGATGGGTTTGGGGGAGATAGGGAGGGGGATGGTGGAGCCACACACAGTACGGACGTTGGAGCTGACAGGCCCAGGTCCAGCCCTGGCTTCCCACATCCTGGGCCAGCCACTCACCTGCGCCTGTCTCCCCACCTGTAAGCTGGGGAAAACAAAAAGGCTCTGAACCATCTATTGCCACGGAATATGGTGACCAACTGTCCCTGTTTGCTCTGGACTGAAGGGTTTCTTGGGATGTGGGATTTTCA